TGAAAATATTATGATGATTAAAAGTATTCAAATTATTGTACTAAGGATTTTCGAAATTGTGCAATTTAAGCAGTGTAGAACTACATGAACACAAATGAACATATTATATTTAGAATTCGAAATCAACAGGCAATCAAGTACTAAAGAATCATTAGTCTGTACAAATACAACAATATTATTCGGTAATTTAACTCATTCAATCGTAAAATATTAATTATTTAACAAAACACTAGTGGTAGGAAGCCATTATAGCCAGTAAAGACAAAAAATGCAGCAAGTTTATGTGCTTGTTTTAACATGATCCAATGAATACAGTAGGAACGGAGAAACCAATTGAACAAAGATCAAAATGCCTATGAGATTGAGTCACTTTTCAAAAATAAGCTAACGGTAATATTTCAGAGTATTTGGAAAGTTAGTTAAAAGGTAGATTCAAATGTTTATACTGTGACAAAAACATGATCTTTATAATAAATACCTAGTAAGATTATTAGTGAAACATGAGAAAAACTCCTAGGGAACTCATAAATTACCGAAAGCTATTCATAGAGGTAATGCATTAAAAGGAATTGCTATTAATAAGTGGATCAGGCAATTCAACGAAGGATGTGATTACTCAATGAGTGGTTCTAGGCCATAATGACCATTGACCTACATTTTTGACAAAAACAAAACATGTGAAGTTTATTGTTTTTCTATTACAGATACACGAAGTGAATGACTTTTGAAAGGCTGAATCTAAGGAAATCGTCCAAATACATAGTTCTAGAAAATGAGGCATTTGAGTTGTTTGATAGGAGTACCAGAAATTATTAAAACAGTGGAAATGGGGGTGAGCTTAGAGTGTTGTCACAAATGTCAAAAACTATAAAAGTAAAGAAGATTGACTGCCTTCAATATCCTGAAATAATTCTTTAGTGACCAGTCTGTATTAGACAGAAAGTTATAGCTGTTATACTACGGTGAACATGATAGCTATTTGTGGTGTTTGTATGAACCAATGATTTCTTTGTATTGATGACTGTTTTGACTTTGAATTCCAAATACAGTATATTCGTTTGTGTTCATCTAATACTTTTTGATTAAATTGCGTTATTCCTAGGATTAATTTATACTATGATTCAAATACTTCAAATCATCACATCATCTTTTTCCAAGAATTTGAGAGGCTTCCTGTTCACGTGAAATGCGAAATACAGTTCGTCTGTCTTTAGGTGGTTTAATGAAATATAAATCTTGTGTACATCCAAATACGTGAATAACAAATCTGATGATTGACTTAACCACTTACATCACAGATCTTTCAAAAAATGCCAAAAATACACATGTGGACTACTGTTTGTTTTTCTATTATACGTAGTTTAGTATCAATTAATTAACTATCAGAGACCATAAGAATAACAAGTGTTTCGGACTTTCACTTATTCTAGAAACCCATTTGTTTAAAATAAGCAGATAGGTTTAGTAAACTTTGTTAAAATACAACAGATTCTAAAACATTTTCTGGCGACTTCTTAACTGCATATTTTTCCTCAGTCTTGTTTTGTCTACTCTCACCTTTTAATGGTTATTTAGAAACTTTAAAGATATCATGACAACAAATTAACCTTTAATTTTTGGCAAATTATTACCTCTATTCATTTTCCCATTCTTATTTTTTCTTTGTCAGTTAAATGCGTACAAAAATAAAGGCTCACTGTAGCATCATTTGTCTAGCGATTTTAACAAATTTGTATTACCGTTATCCCTTCATTTTAATTTATTTCTACACTAAATTGTGATTAAATGCAGACAAATAACAAGACATTATAAAATAAAACTGAACTAATATTACTCTTTTTCGGTTGATTCCCTAATTAGTCACTAATAAATTTATTGAAACGTCCGCTTGCATATAAAATAGTAACTCATAAACAAATTAGTCAGTAGTTATGTGTGGGTAGCTGATTGATAACTAGGTATAACCGAAGTCTATTAGACACACAATAACTATATTTACTTAACTGGTAAAAATAACCACTGTACGATGATCTAGAAACCAAAAAACTTGATACGTAATTTCAATTAATAATCTATCACTGAGTAGATAAACGCTCATTGATTTATCACGTACATGTTCACTGATACATAGATGGTTTATTTTAGCAGTTCAGTCGTTATGTGTAATTTTGTTATATCTAGCACCATACATTTTGATACTTCAAATTGTAGTATATAAAATTAGCGGTTTCTAAGTTTATATAAACAATCATTTGTCACAAGGTATGTAATACATGAAACGAACAATCAAATAATTAAACTTGGTTTATCGCAATAAATTTCACAAAACTAAGATTTGCAAGAAAAAATTTCAACACGTTTGATTGACACTATTATCATGCATCATAGATTAGATCGCTTTTAGTTTTAACTCAATCACACTAGTTTATGCAGTTTTTATCCACATTGATGATTAAAACCTATAACGCTGATCACTTTCTGAAGATTAATAATATATACTTCTACAGGGAACCGGTAATCATTTGAATGAAGGCAGCAGAAGTTTTGTACACTATCCAACTAAGTTTCAGAATCATACATTCTCTGTTCCTCAAGGTTTCTCGGTACGTATAAGCATAAAGTGGTGCACTGACTGATGCCTCAATACATGTTAATAAGGCATAGAAAATGATAATCGGTGCATCTTATCATTTCTTTGATGTACTCATTTTAATATAAGTATCTAAACACATATATTAAAGTCCCCGTGTATTGAATAACTACTAATCTGTCATACTCGTAATGCTAATCTACTAAACTGTGAACTTTGTATGAACTAATGATTCTTTTAAACTTGGTTTCGAATTCTAAATACGATATGTTCGTTTGTGCTCATATAATTCTTCTTAGTTAAATTGCGTTATTTCTGGAATTCCTAGTTTCTACTATCATTCAAATACTCCTAATCATCACATTGGCGTCGCGATGGGACGGTTGGACATACATTCAGATTTTAATGCTTTCGAGGATTACATGGAAAGGTTTAAAATCTGGGCTATGACCAAGAAAGATGTTGAGGATTTTAATATTGTAGCTCATTTTCTTAAATTCATCGGAAAAGAAGCCTACAACTTAATAAAGACTTTGGCATTTCCAGACAAGCCGATTTCACGCTTTTATGCAACTCTAAAGCAACTACTACTAGACCATGTGAAGTGTACAAATTTCGAATGCTATAAAGGAGAAAAATTTCATAAAATGATTTGTCAGGATATCAGCAATTTCGCTACTTTACTACGTCGCCTCAGTCCAATACGTAACCAAGGTTACTCAGATAACAATCCATTGAGTTGCGATGGAGGTCACGAAGACGGGCAAAAGTTAAGTCAATGTTTGTCTTGTGACAAGTTTCACTCGTTTTATTTATGCGTATTTCTTAATTCTAAATTCCTTAAATGTAGTGAGATTGAACACATTCAGTCAGTTTGTAATACTGCTGTTCATTTCTCTGCAATACTAAATTTTGTAATTTTGATCCTACTGAGTATTTCTAGTGATAATTTATCTTTACCCACGATTTCGAAAATCAGTTTAGAGTCACATAGCAGTCCAGAATTAAATGACACTCAGAATCATTGTGAGACCAAAATTCCTAGACAACCAACTTCTTATAAGATTCCCCATGTTATTATATCAGATATGGTTTTTCCTAATGATTAGCATATTTCTAAAGGAATTTCTTAAAAACTGAGGAAAATATGTTGAATGAATCAAATCGTGATCGAAAATTCGATTCAGTCATGATAAATGCTGATTTTTCTAATGATCCTTATTCGTTAATGAAATTCTTAATAAATTTGAGGAAAATAATTCGGAATCAAATCCTAATGTCAAATCAAATGTTATTTGTCCTAACAATGAATTTATCTGCAGTGATAATCCCAATGAATGTGAAAAATATGTCACATATCTGATATTATTGTATCAGATGTTGGATATTCTCACAACCAATGTATGTTGAGTATGAATCAGAGGGAATAGCAAGTTTCCCGAAGTAATCAGTTTACACAGGCAAAAAAGTCAAATCGAACGCATGACTAAACAAATGGGTATGAGGCGGATGCATATTTTCCACTTGATTATTTTTCAGTTGACAAAATTCTAGACGAATCGCGTGTTATCAATGCATATTTAACTGTGTATTCCAACATTGAAAGCACAAAGAATATGTATAATATTTTTCATGCATGTCAGTCATGTAGTGATCTGCTTATATGCTGAGAACGCGGTTGGTGTGATGGAAACATTTATTACCATGACAAACTGTACCAGTGATTGTTTTACTGTATCTTTATGTTTAATTGTGCTAAAAACACACCTTTCCCGTTGTTTGTGACCTTAAACTTACGTGCGCACGGTAGTCTCGACTGTAAACTTTAGCACGAGGTCGGTATTATTTCGATACCACGAGATCTCCAACAAATATATCCTAACTACAATATACAACTGTTCTAAGATTTATCCTACTGAGGGATTTAGCCTGGTAATTGGCACGTAATCGATCTTTAGTGGTGATGGTAATCAACTGCGACTCGACATTTCCACACCTGGTGAGCGACAACTTCGAACACGCCTCAACTGCTGGAGGATCTCCCGAAGAAGCCAATCAAGGTAAGTATATTATTCATCTATCCATATTTGTTGCATATTTCATGTCGATACCTTTTAAAACATATTATACTCACAGGTTATTAGTTTTCGAGCTGTTCCTTTTATCCTCCCAGAAGTCTGGTTCGCGGCACTGCAGGTTTAGTTCGAGATCCGCCGCAATACGAACCAGCGGTAAAAGTACGCCCACGCTCTGGGAACCTTACCTGGGGATCATGCAGTCGCTGTTCGTGAGATTATCCTCAATCCTAAGGCACCTGACGTCTACGATCGTCTCAAGGAGGTGATTCTCAGACATTTCCTCCCATCGAGGGAGGAACGATTTAAGACATTATTAGCATTCTACCCCCTGAGTGATGCTAACCGAGCCACAACCCCACGCGCCTGCAATCTTTAGCAGGACTCACGACAGCAGATTCTGAAATAGTTAAGGAATTGTGGCTTGAATATTTACCAGCATATATACAGCCTATGATCGCGGCCCTGCACAGGGACACATCACTTACTCAATTTGCCCTCATAGCAGACAAAATATTAGCGAGGACTAGCACTCGGTGTCCACCGCACCTTTGGGTCCGGTACCCGCCATTGTCGAGCCCCCTGCTCATACACGGTGGAAAACTCCTGTGCGGCGAGTAAATGTTGTCGTACTCACTGGCCCCTCACCCCAGGTTGGCCACTTATCTTACGTGCGCAACTATCGCACTAACGCTAGGTACCTAGTAGATACAGGTGTCCAAGTTTCTGTCATACCGATTGGTAGCAGTAAGTTTCAAGCTACAATGTTTCGACTACGCGCTGCGAATGACTCAGTCATTCCTACCTCTGGTACACGACAACTTACGGTTAATCTGAGTAACCGACGACAGTATCTGTGGACGTTCGTCATTGCCGACGTTCCCACAGCCATATTCGGTATCGATTTCCTACAGCATTACGGATTGCTAGTCGATTCATGTAGGCTGCAGCTAATCGATACTTCATCGAACAGTAAATTCATGGGCTTTACAGCTTAGACAGTATTTTCTAAACTTTATTTTTTTACTACCATTGATACTAATACTGTTTCCATTCTTTCGTTACCCATGCCGTTATTTTCATATCAATGTGTTGATATGGTGTGACAATTTGTGATGACGCTAGGTTATACGTTGACTGTAACTAAATTTTACTACTAACAGTAACAATCCAGAGCAAATTGTTCATCAAGTAAATATTATTGTATTCTGCCTTGAGCCACACCGTGTTGTGTGAAGGTTAGTGAAACTGCCAAGCTTTCAAAATGGAAGTTTGTAGTGTAGTATTCAAACCTACAACTACACTTACTGGCTCAAAACAAATAATCTTAACTTTATAAGAAAAACTATTTAAAATACTAGGCGCTGTTTAGCCATAATTTTATCTTTGAAAAAACAAAACAATGATATGAAGTAAAAACGGAACAAAAGAATATGTATAAAGAAAATAAGTTTGGGCTTCCTGATAACCATCTTTTGATTTTACGTCGGTATTGTAATCCCATGGTCTTCATCTGTTTCTATGCCTATATCAGACTGGAATAAAATGAATGACTGAAGTATATTTCTAATTAGAAACTACAAATGTACTGATCAAGTTCGTAAAGTGATATATTTACATTATCTCAATAGTCAACCTGTAATTCACGGTGTTGTTCATTGAAAGCAAAAAATAAAGCAGATTAAAATTCAGTAAATGTTGATGTATAGTCACACATGAATTTATCCTAATAATTCAATGTGGACAACCATTCATACAGATAAACAGCCATCTCGCAAATTGACCAATTTGATCACAAATAAGCCAAAACAAAATGTCAATAACTCCATTCATTTGTTTATCCTTTTCGTGTTACGTAATCTTATCCTTTATGATTAGTCGAAGTAGCTATTTCCATAGCTCACGAATGTGTAACAGAGATATTTCTTAATCAAAGCGAACCTATCCTGTTACACAATTAATCCAATGTTTTAATTTTTCTCCACTCACAATGGTATTTCTTTCTTCATTCTTCATCTTGAGCTACTAACTCATCTTTAGAACGTACTCCTTAATTACTCTAACGTAATTGTTGAAGTCAATGCTAGATATAGCCAAATGTAACTTGAAGGACAAATTTTCTTTCCGATTGCGCTTTTGATGTTTTGACTGATACCTTAACGCTAAACGAGCAAGGAGTTGTAAATACAGCGTTTATTTTGTTTCCATTGGTCGTACCACTATTTAGTTTTGAGATATCTAGTTCAGCCATTGGGTTAGAATCGTTGTAAGAATTCCACCGGTTTTAGAAAAAAACTATAATAACCTACCGAAAATTTATCTAAACCTTAATACATTTGCAAATACATTTAAAAGAGTAATACCTCTGTTTTTCCAAATTTACTTTGAAACTATTTAAAACAAAAAAATTCAAGTTTAGACAAGAATATAATACAAGTAAAGGGAGACTATTTTAAAAGCTGATGTCAATGTTTTATAACTCGAATTCATAAGTGATCTTATCAGTTTTTATTTAGCTCCTTTGTCTCCTTAAAAGGAGTACTACAACTGAAGATCTAGAAGATAAGAAATAAAAACTGGGAATGTATGGTTTAAATGAGACAGTTCCTTCAAACCTTTAAATACATAACATTCAAACGAACGGATATTTACTGATTTAAATACCAGTGTAAAACAGCAGTGTTTCACAGGGAAGATAAAATTTAACATCCTAGAGTAGAATAATACTAACTGGAGTTAGAATCAATTCCTACGCAGTCATTAACTCTTCAACAGCCTTTTGTATCAACAGTCAAGGGAACAGGAGTGTAACCAAGTTAAAATTTAACAATCAAATATAATAGATAGGAAAGACCTTTCCAAATTTTTATTGAGCGCTAAGAACGAGTAGAAAACTTCCCATAACTTACCATTAACTGTTTCTTGCTGGAAGGATAACTTTCAGCCACGGCATCAACAATATTCATTGCCTGATAATTGAACAAGAATCGGTAACAATGTTTAACAAATTAAATTATGGAAAAATCAAATAGTTCATCCAGAAATTATGATATTAGTGCCCAGTTCACTGTCAAGATGAAATTACAACCTTTAAATAACTGCAGAGGAATAACATTTCAGTATGTACTAAAAGAAAATACATAATCAGCAACTAAAGAAAAAGAATTAGGAGCCATGTTTATAAAGTAGTCAAATTATTTAAGATAAAAAGTTCGAAAACGTAGAGCAACAAGGTAATCAAATTAGAATAGGGGAAAAAATTCCAAATATAAATAGAATACTAGACCAATACAGATATGATAAAGGACTAGTAGAAGTAAGAGGCTGTTACTTATTCATATGTATATAGTATATAAAACAGCTATTACTATTTAAACTAATTACTATGACTACATAGTATGGTGTGAAACAGAAAAAAAGACGTAGCGAAGAAATGAGAATTAAAGCTAAGACAAACTGTACAAATATAATCGTTGTAAGCCCAGTAAATGATATTCAGACAACAGTATTTAAAAAAACAAATGTTAAGATTTTAAAAAACCAATTTGATGTTAAACAAGCAGTGGTTTTTTCATGAAAGCTGTAATTAAGTATGTGTGGAATATGAAGTAATAATATAAACGTTCACTCCAAATGACAAACTATTTTAGGGCAAATATGCACTACTAGCGTATTTCTCGTAGGATAGTTATTTGGTAGATGTATTTTTATCTTTATATATTACATCTGCATAGATGTTTTCGCCACAGAAAGCTTGTCAACTACTCTAAAACAATTAGTTCCCGTGATAAATTTTGATAATGCAATGAGAAGACAAAGGTTGTCAGAAATATATGATATATTTGCGCAATACGCTTCGAACAATCTGACCACATATATACTTGTGAAGACATTTTATATGAAAAGATCAACAACTAGATAAATTAAAATGTAAGCTGAAACCAAGATAATAAAGTACACAAAAACAATGTGGAAACAACGGTGGATAAAAAATCAGCATTACCAGGGTAGGTATACGGCAAGAACGAATTATTTTTGAACATATAAAGCGGGTTTGGGTTTCTGTATAACCAAGGCTTCAATAAACTTAAGCATACGCCCTTGAAAGCTGTTGCACAAAACAACAAAGGTTTCCTCAGTATCAAACTTATGACCGGTCTCAACCGAGTGTTTCGTAATAGATGAAGATATTTGTCTATCCTGTAACCTTATTAGACCATCAGAATTCGCTTGTTTTTGCAGCTTGTTAAATGTGTTTAGTCAAACTTGTAGCTAACGATTGATCTTCTCTATATACATGTTTTCACACATGTAAATTGATAAACGCATGGGGATGTGACGCAATCGCTCACATACTATTTGTGCTTTTGCTGAAACATAGACCTTGACTTTTTAATAACGGAGAGTTGGATTGCATAAAATGTCATATTGATAGCTAATTTGAGTCTTCGTTTCAACCCCGACCGTTGCTGCTACCTTGACGTGGTGGCCGGGCTTGCCTATCGTGATGAAGCAATCGAGCTATGCTGGCTGGAACAATCGTTCCTCGAGGTCCTACCATGCCAGACAGGTCGGTTGAAGAGCGGTAAGACTAAAAGCAACAATCCCAAGGTCCGAAGGCGAAGTCGTACTGCCGACTGTACAGAGGTGTGACGGCAGTAAGGTGTTTCCTTCAGACAACCAGCATGACAGCGATGCTGCCTTCCCGCAAGGAGGGTTGGGGTTAGAAAAGGTCGACCCTAAAAATGCACACCTCGCCTTATCCCACGGATATCCGTCTCCGGCGGTAAGGTTTTTTTTGAAGAACGGAGCTAACACAAAAACTACCCACAAAAAGGTCGTGTGTGACCGACCTCAAGCAGATGTCACTTGGGCACTGCGGTCACGCTCTCAGGTCATTAAGACCACTTCTAACCCAATTTCCTTTTCAGGTACCTCTAGAAGAATCCTTCCACGGTGTGGGCAACCGGGAAGTGATAACTGCCCTCATACCCCTAACAGCACTCAAGACCACCGTATTCATAATCAACCTCCTTTAATTCCTACTATTCCTTCTACCTTGACTTTCAACACAAAACTTCCTCTCTCGGTTTCCTCCTCAAGTGTCACCATGGCCAACGATTCTAGTGCGCGAAACGCTGTCCCAGGTCTACTAAAACCTCGCTCCAAACTACACATTGGAGCCTTCAACGTACGTACTTTAAGTCAAATCGGTCAACAGGCCTCCTTAGCTAAAACCTTAGAGTCGCGTACCATTGATGTATGCTGTGTTTCCGAAACACGCATACAGGATCCTAGTGTGGTCATTCACTTGACCTCACCTCGCCAAAATGGACAGCCAACGAAATACACCCTCCGTGTATCTGGCGACCCGTTGGCTAGTTCTCGTGGACTTGCAGGTGTAGGTATAGCACTAAGTACAAGGGCAGAACAGGCACTATTAGAATGGATCCCCGTTAACAGTCGCCTGTGTGCTGTCCGGCTAAATGGCTCCGTAAGAACTCGGAAGGATAGGGACACACGTCGTTGCCTTTTCGTCGTTTCTGCCTACGCTCCCACCGACTGCAGCCATGATGAAGTGAAAGATGACTTTTACAGAAAGCTCTCTGAGCTTCTTCAGAAAGCTAAGCGCTCAGACATAGTACTCATAGCGGGTGACTTTAATGCCCAGGTAGGCAGCTTGAATCAAACAGAAAGACATCTAGGTGGGTGTTTTAGTATTCCGGCTCAACGAACCGATAATGGTGATCGTCTGTTGCAACTATGCTCAGACAATCGTTTATTTTTGGCAAGCACTAATTTTAAACATAAGGAGAGACATCGTCTAACATGGCGACCACCTGCACCAAACCAACGATGGACTCAAATAGACCATATTGTCATCAGTCATCGTTGGAGAGGCTCAATAGAAGATTGTCGCTCGTATTGGAATACTTGTTTAGACTCTGATTACGCTTTAATACGAGCACGCATTTGTCTGCGCCTCAATGGACGCAGGAAAAGTAAACTAAGAAGACCCGTTAGGATTGAACTGGAGGACGAGAAAGCCAAATGCGAATTCCAGAGACAACTGAGTTCACATCTAAGCAGTTCTGTAAACGAGACTGATCCAGATGCTGCTTGGAAAGGCATACGAACAGCTGTGGAAACAGCAGTAGCATCTATTAGTCATTTAAACCATAGGGCTCCAAAAAACCAGTGGATTTCTTCTAAGTCTATTTCACTGATGGATTCGCGTAAACTCATACCATCAGGCTCTGAACATGACGAAGAGCGTAAAGATATTAGATCTAGGTTAACTAAAAGTCTAAGGAACGATCGTGAGCAGTGGTGGGCAACGAAAGCAAAAGAGATGGAAAAGGCAGCGGCTGTAGGCAACACCAGGCAACTATTCAGACTAATAAAAGAAACTGGAATTAAGAAGTCAAGTGTAAGTGAGACAATCTCGGAAAAAGATGGAACCCTTATCTGCTCTCTACCCAAACGTTTAGAACGATGGGCGGAACACTTTAAGGAGCAGTTTAGCTGGCCTTCAGCTACTGCACAACTACCCACTATTCCTAGAAAACCTGAATGGAACATTGAAGTAGGCCCCCCGACCCTACTTGAAGTTCAAAAGGCTATAGGTAATCTGAAACGAGGAAGAACAGCTGGTCCTGATGGATTGGCTCCAGAGGTCTTTAAATATGGTGGTCCAATTTTAGCGATTAGGTTGACTAATATTCTGGCTAAAATCTGGGAGACGGATGTAATCCCATCCGACTGGTCACAATCACTGATTGTCCCAATATATAAAAAGGGGTCAAAATCATCCTGCGATAACCATAGAGGGATTAGTCTGACTAACATAGTATCTAAAATACTAGCCTCAATAATTATCAGGCGCCTAACTAAAACTCGTGAACTGCAAACACGAGAAAATCAGGCTGGCTTCAGACCTGGTCGTGGCTGTATCGACCACATATTCACCATTCGTCAAGTTTTAGAGCACAGACATGCTTATCGGCGTCCGACAATGATAGTTTTTCTTGACTTGAAAGCAGCATTTGACTCTGTAGACCGAGAGGTTCTGTGGCAGTGTCTGTCATTGAAAGGTGTACCTGAGAAGTACATAAACCTTGTGAAGGCTCTTTACTCGAACACTATCAGTCGAGTGAGAGCTTATGGCGAACTGTCATATGATTTTACAACCTCAAGTGGTGTCCGTCAAGGCTGTCCACTATCCCCCTTTTTGTTTAACTTCATTATAGACCTGTTGCTGCAAATGACACTCTCGTCGACTGAGTTTACAGGAATTGATCTCCTACCAGGGGGACCACTAAGCGACTTAGAATACGCAGATGACATAGTCCTGTTTGGTGAAGACGCTGACAAAATGCAGAGTCTTCTGTTGGAACTGAGTAATAATGCCAGGATGTTTGGGATGCGTTTCTCCCCATCCAAATGTAAATTGTTACTCCAGGACTGGCCTGCGTCAACACCTGAACTAAGGATAGGGAGTGAAGTAGTCGAACACGTCGACAACTTCACTTATCTTGGAAGTCTGATCAGCCCTAATGGGTTGGTGTCAGACGAAATCTCAGCACGGATTCAAAAAGCTCGTTTGGCTTTTGCCAACTTACGTCACCTATGGCGAAGACGAGATATCCGTCTATCAATTAAGGGACGAGTATACTGCGCAGCAGTTCGCTCTGTTCTACTTTACGGCTGCGAAACATGGCCATTAAGAGTAGAAGATACTCGTAGGTTACTAGTATTTGACCACAGATGCCTTAGAAATATTGCTCGCATCTGCTGGGATTACCGAGTAAGTAATAGTGAGGTTAGACGCAGGGTATTAGGTAACGATGGTAAATCAGTTGATGAGGTGATAAATCTTCATCGACTGAGATGGTTGGGCCATGTGTTACGTATGCCTGAACACCGATTACCACGACGCGCTATGATGACTAGTATTGGGGACGGTTGGAAGAGAGTTAGGGGCGGACAAACCAAAACATGGCATCAGTGTTTGAAGTCACTAACTTCTAGCCTGAGCCACGTTGGCAGATGCAGACTACCTGGTTGGGGTCCGCGTGACTATCGTAATAAATGGTTGGAGACTCTAGGTGACATGGCTCAGAATCGATCACAATGGCGTAGGTGTATACACTCTTTATCTTCCCTTAAACCTTGAGATTAAAATTGCTTCATATCTCTCTTCCTTCCTGTACTATATCCTTATATACAACCTTTCCTTATATACTACCACCACTAAATTAATTACTTCTATGAATCCGGTGTTCATCTTGTTGTGCTAAAGAGGTATGGCAACTTGGACCGATGCATATATGTGCCTGGTCCTACGTTGTAGCTGACTGACTTCGTTTCAACATGAGACTATTTGAGTCACCTCTAAATGGTAAAGTAATGAAGACTCGCCTTTTGGGTACCAAAAACACCATAGGTCTCATAGTAATGCAACCTTTGCAGCGGTTTATAAACTTCTACTACTGTAGTGAACGAGAAAACAGGTGGGAACAATCGAATGTATTTGAACACAAAAATTACAGAACATCTTAGTAAAATCTGAGAACCATACAGTAAAAACTTAATTTGTAAAATGTCAGTCAGTTGTCTAAAACTTGACTGTTCCTTTGCAAATGTCAATCAATCGTCTTAGAGATTACTGTTCCTTCATTTCCATACCAATTGCTTTCTGTTCCCGTTCTTTCCTTCTCGACCTTCTGCTGCTGGACATTCTATTCCTGACCAGCGTTATGTACTACTTATGTCGAGATAAGTAGCACACATCGCAATACTACTATAAACAACTAGTCTTTAATCTCAGATACTGGTTTGATTTACCACTTTTACTGATCAGACAGTGAACAAATGGTCATTCTAAAGATCTTATAAGCGACTACATAACTTTTTCATGTAAACCAAAGGTCGTATTTTACACTGATCTTAGCTGTAGGGTAAGGACAAATTTGTAACTGTCTAATACTGCTTTACCCCGATTTTTTTGTTTATTGAAAAACATACGTCATTAAAAACTAGTTTCTTGATTCAGTAATTCACTCTCCAAATAAAAGGAGATGGACAAAAGTTCCATAACTCACGATACGTTTACGCTTCTTCCATTCGTTGATCATTTTCGTATGATTTTCAGAGACCTAGTAAGACGGAAACATACACACGTTCACATGCTTATCAACATTTTTAGCCGAAATAACGCAAGATAACCGAAAAGTTAAAATAGATTTACAATATAAAGGCCTAGCCAACAGAAAGTATTAGGGGACGTATATAATAATTTCTCAAATCTCGACAGGAATCAAAATCTGTATTTTAGAAAATTCTTCAACTGAATGCATTTACGCTCATGCTTGATTTGATTTGCAGACCACGGAAACCATCACTTTATAAGAACCTATTCGGATCTTTCTACAAATAAAATATCATTTATAGCCTTCAACACGACAACAAAAAACAAAAATACAATTTCAGTTCGATAATTGATTTATACTTGTTTAATTTTCCAAGGACTACAATAGTAAAGAGTATGGAGGGCCCTTAAAAAACCAACGATAAGAATTTGGAGCACATTAAGTGGAAAATCAGCAACACATAACATTACGATCAAACTGTCAATAACATTAACTTAGATTGACAGTTGTCACATGAGGACAGTCAAAATACTGATTTCAGATTGAGCGTGAAACGTGTTACAGTGGTAAAGAATAATCCAAAAAAATTATAACTTAACTAGACATGACTAAGCATTGTTAAAACGGTTCAAAAAACAATTCGAAGACTCAATAGAGCAAAAAACATTTTGAAAATCGTTGCATAATCACGCCAACCCCAACCCTATAATATGTACCTATTAACATGTCTCGGTCCGATTGTCAGTGGTTTTATGAACTGATGCCATGTTTTAGTCTCGCCGCCCCTAGCTTTCTTCCAGACAACTCCTGCACCAGAAGATATCGCCCATCGAGGTAGGAGCTGGTTCAACATACGTGACATGTCCCAACAACTCAGTTAATGAAGATTCACTGCCTCATCAATCGATTCGCTATCCTTACTTCCTATCCTATTTCTAACCCAGGCATTGGTAACTATGGTCCAAAAATACAGGAGCAATGCTTCCAAGACACCTATCATCGAGTACTAGTAACCTACGAATATCCTCTGTTCGTAACGGCCATCGTTCACATCCATAAAGTAGAATGGAGCAAACTGATGGGCAGTAAACTCGTTTGTTAATTGGCAGATGGATATCTCTCCTACGCCACAAGTGACCCAAGTCGGCAAAAGTCAATTGTGCCTTCTAAATCCGTGCCAAGACTTCGTCAGACATTAGACTATCAAGACTGATGAAACTTTCATGATACTGAGAAAACCTATTTGGCTGTCTAATTGTGTTTACTTTGACTATCGGTTCGTTTGGTGGGTTGCTTCAATGACTCAGTCTTTTGGTCACTTAACTGCCCGCAACAGAAATGTGTTTATCACAAAGAACTGAAAGACTCCTTAATAGTTTAGTTATTTTGGATGAACTATATCTGGATAATTTAATAGTATCCGATTAATGTTTAAGATCAGGATAAAATTTTTTAAAATACCCTCCTCCAACCTACCTGTCCTTCGGGCTCTTTAACGTGAACTTTGTTTCATTAAGAGAAGATATAAAAATGTGATTTCTCTTAACTCGATACAAATATTGTATCACTTTGATGTAGTGGATTCAGATATCTGTCATAAACCCCGATCGTAGCTGTTCAGTCAGTCAGTCAGTCAGTTACAACGTAGAACTTCGTACGTACGTACATCAGTTCGAGTTGCCATACCACATTAGCACAAAGATGAAGTTGTCGATTCAAATCCCATAATGGTAGAAGTAGTAAGAGTATGAACAGCAATCGGAAAAATTAGGGTTTGAAGATGTTATTGAAGGAGTATAATAAAAAGAAATAAATTTGGAAAGAGAAAAATGAAAGGGACATGAAGAATTCAGATTAGAATTTGGTAGAACACAAAGAGTGGATGCACCTTCGCCATTGCAGACGATTTTGAGCCATGTCATTCAGGGTCTCTAATCATCGGTTGCTATCATCTCGCGAATCCCAACCAGGTAGTCTACACCTACCAACATGGCCCAGTCCACTTGTCAGTGACTTCATGTATTTCTGCCACGTTTTGGTCTGGCCGCCCCTAGCTTTCTTCCAACCTGCTCCTACATCATAAAGCATTGCACGTCGGGGCAGTCGGTGGTTGGGCATACGTAACACATGTCCCAGCCATCTCAACTGGTGAAGTTTCACTACTTCATCAATCCATTTGCCATCCTTACCTAGTACCCGTTTCCTAACATCTGCATTACTTACCCGGTGGTCCCAGGATATACGAGCAATGTTTCGAAGACACCTATGATCGAATACTAGTAGCCTACGAATATCCTCTACTCTTATTGGCCATGTTTCGCTGCCATAAAGTAGGGCGTAACGAACTGCTGCACAGTAAACCCGTCCTTTGGTTGCTAGACGGATATCTCGCCTACGCCATAAATGACGCAAGTTGATGGAAGCTAGTCGAGCCTTCTGTATCCGTGCTGAGATTTTGTCACACACCAGACCACAAGGGCTGATGAGACTCCCAAGATAAGTGAAGCGGTCAACACGCTAAACTACTTCACTCCCCATCATTAGTTCAGGTGTCGATGCAACCCGATCCTGAAGTAACATTTTGCACTTCGAGGGAGAGAATCGCATCCCGAACATGCCTGCATTGTTGCTTATAGTAGTCAGAAGACTCTGCATTTTGTCAGCGTCTTCACCGAATAAAACTATGTCGTCGGCGTATTCTAAGTCAACAAGTGAGCCTCCTGGTAAAAGTTCAACTCTAGGAGATTGAGATGATGAAAGTGGTACCTCTAAAAGCATGTCAACGACAAAGTTAAACAAGAATGGGGAGAGTGGACAGCCCTGACGAACACCACTTGAGGTAACCAATTCTGATGACAGTTCGCCATAGGCTCTAACTCGACCAGTTGTGTTCGAGTAGACAGCCTTTATGAGGTTAATGTACTTCTTTCGTACTCCTTTCACTGACAAACACTTCCATAGAACCTCACGATCAACTGAGTCAAATGCCGCCTTAAGATCAAGAAACACTACTATTTTGGGACGTCTGAATGTATGTCCTGCGGCTCTCCCTCGCTTTAGATTTCCTATAGATTTTTCAACCTCGTGGAGAGTTGGAGGACTTACCTCAATTTGCCATTCAGGACGACTGGGGATCGTGGGTAACTGAAGGCCAGTTGAATTGATCCCTAAAGTGTTCTGCCCATCGATCCAATCTTCTGGATTGAGAATGAATGATATGTCCATCTTCAACTGATATAGTTTTGCTGATATTTGGGTTTATAATACCGATTTCTTTAACAAGTCTGAATAGCTGTCTGCTGTTACCTATTGCCCCTGTCTTTTCCATCTCTCTTGCTTTCGCTACCCACCACTGTTCACCATCATTGCGTAGGCTTCTTATTAGCCTGCGCTTAAGCTATGTTTAGAGCCAGGTGGGATGAGTTTTCGAGCATCTATCAGTGCGGTAGACGCTGCCGAGATCCATTGTTTCTCCCTAACCTTATGGTTTACCTTAATAGCGGATATCACTGCTGTTTTCACAGCTTTTCAGATGTCATTCCACGCCGCCTCGGGGTGGGCACAACTTACATGTCTGTCTAACTGTTTTTCCAGTTGTTCCTGAAATATATTCTTAGCTTGCTTATCATTAAGTAGAACCCTTAGAGGCTTCCCTGCAGTGTCTTTCCTACGTCCAGTAAGTCGCAGACAGATACGTGCTCGCACTAGAGCATGATCTGAATCTAAGCATTTTTTCCAGAATGAGCGAGTCTTCTATCGAGCCCCTCCATCGGTGGCTGATAGCGATGTGATTTAATTGGGTCCAACGTTGGGACGAATTCGGGGGTCGCCATGTCAAAAGATGTTTTTCCTTATGCTTAAAGTTAGTATTTGCAAGAAATAGGCGGTTATCTGAGCACAGCTGCAACAGACGGTCGCCATTATCTGTTCTTTCCGCCATGACACCATAAGATCCTCCCAGGTGTCTTTCCCTTTCACTTAGTTTACCTACTTGAGCATTAAAGTCACCAGCCACTATAAATACATCAAAACGCCTAGCTTTTCGGAGAAGGTCAGAAAGTTTCCTGTAAAACTCATCTTTTATATCGTCTGAGCAACAGTCAGTGGGAGAGTAGGCAGAGATGACGAAGAGACAACGACGAGTTTCCCTATCTTTCCGAGTCCTTACTGACCCGTTTAGTCGGACAGCGCACAAACGACTGTCTACTGGGATCCAGTCTAAAAGAGCTAGTTCTGCCCTACGACTTAATGCTATACCTACTCCAGCGAGGCCACGGGAAGCAGCATCAGGGCTTCCAGATACACGAAGCGTGTATCGAGATGGTTCTTTATTTTGATTAGGTGAGGTCAAATGAATGACGCTACTCGGATCTTGTATGCGCGTTTCGGAGACGCAGCATACATCGATGGAGTAAGATTCTAGAGTCCTAGCTAAGGAAGCCTGTTGTCCTATTTGGCACAATGTTCAGACATTAAAAGTTCCTACATGTAGTTTACAGCGAGGTTTCAGGAGACCAGGAATAACGTTCCGTGTACACGAATCGTTTGCCCTAGCGGTGAGAGGTGATAAAAGGATGTGGGAAGGGTTAGTCGTGGAGATAAGAGAGTTGTTAGGAGGTGTAGGAAGGATTTGAAAGTGACCAACTTGGTCTCGTGTGCTGTTACGGGTATGAAGGCATTTATCACTTCCCAGCTGCCCACACCGTGGAAGGGTATTTCTTGAGGGACCTGAAAAAGAAGTTGGATTAGCGTTGGTCTGAACGACCTAGGAGCGTGACCGCAGTGCCCAAGGGACAACTGCTTGAGACCGGTCACGCACGGCCTTTTTGTGGGGGATTTTTGAAGTGTTAGCTCCGTTCTTCAAAAAAAACCTTACCGCCGGAGACGGATATCCGTGGGATAAGGCGAGGTGTGCATTTTTAGGGTCGACCTTTTCTAACCCCAACCCTCCTTGCGGGAAGGCAGCATCGCTGTCATGCTGGTTGTCTGAAGGAAACACCTTACTGCCGTCACACCTCTGTACAGTCGGCAGTACGACTTCGCCTTCGGACCTTGGGATTGTTGCTTTTAGTCTTACCGCTCTTCAACCGACCTGTCTGGCATGGTAGGACCTCGAGGAACGATTGTTCCAGCCAGCATAACTTGATTGCTTCATCACAATAGGCAAGCCCAACCACCACGTCAAGGTAGCAGCAACGGTCGTAGCTGTTACCTTGATGTGGTGAGTTTATGCTGTTTAACGCATGAACTTTCGGGATGATTCCTGTGGGTTAACAACGTGCTAATGAAGTTAAGGCACAATTACCAAGCCTGATTTTCGATATCGTTGACATGTCGTGATAGCACTACGTAATAAAACTGGTATGGTGCACTCAAATATTGATTAGATGTAGAACCGCGAAATACAACAGTATTTAGTAGATAAGTTTTCAAGCAAAAAGTGTTCTAGTCACAATAGCAACGTTAGTAACATGGGTAATTTATTTCAAAATTCTACGGAAATATAGATAACTTTCAATGGAAAACTAACCGATTTCAAGTCAGCTTCAGTAATCCCTGGTCCTTTAGCTTTGAGTGATTTCACTTCCGTTTCGATTTCCTTTAGCTTTAAACAGACGATAAATAAAATATTAAAGTAGTCAAGAGTAGTATATTAAATTGTATAAAAACGTTTCGTTGTTTACAACAAGATTATTATTACTAGTCATTGAAGACGACTAACATATTTGTGTAAACAGACTGACGACTACAGCTTAAAAACCAATGTGAAATGTAAACAGTGCACCAAAATAATAAAAGACCTATCTCTCAACAAAAATAATTATAATAATCCAACTAAGGAAAGAGACGGACCACAGAACTATAATGTGGTTAGGACATCTCCTACGAGGTTTCAGTTGACTTTAGATGAACTAACGAATATCCCTCAATTAGATATACCCATGACGGCACCCTGATAATTATTCTTCTACCATGACAGCGAAAAGCATGAGAATGCAGAGAGATTTTCAGGTATTTAAGTGAGGCGGTTTAGCAACTGTCATTACGTGGGCTAAATTAATTATCATGGTGTTGGTGAAAAGATATTGATCCTTCTAATTGGGTTGGATTTAAAGTGACGGATGTTTTATGATATTATATGTATCCTGTTCAGAAGTTTCCAAAATTCCGGAATATATATTTTTTTATGTCTGATGGCAAACGCCATGGAGTTGATTAAACAAACAACCATCGTCTGCCTAAGCCTAGGTCCTATAAGCTGTAGTGTGCTGCTAGCTGAAAAAATCTCGGCGCGAATATAAGTAGTTAGTTTGAGCTTACTAACGTCATATAATCGAGCAATATAATCGACCATTATTAAAATGGTGAGTACAGAACAGTTTTTGTATTACCATAAGGGTGTGAAAAATGGCCCTTGAGGGTTTAGAATACGTACAGAATCATTGTATTTGATGGATGCTATCTTTGAAGTACTAAATCCGTGCAACTGTACAACAAAATAAATACAGAGGCCCTGCGTCAATTAGTAAGTAGAGGTGGTAAATCAGCTGATAAGATTGTGAACCTAAGGTGGTTTCAATTTGATATAAATGCTCAAACACTGCCAAACATGTATTATGTTTAAAATAGTAGATTGGTATATCACAAGAGAAAATAAACCACAAGATGATGTTAATCCATGGAATCAGCAGCTAATGCCATGATAGCTTACATTATCTAACAACCGTAGTAAATCTTCGAAGACCTCAAATGATATGCCGTTAAATCAGTAGCCACTTAACACATGAATTCATTCTTTATCTTACAATTTCCAAATACTTTATTTTACTTTTATCTCTCGTTTTTTAATTTTCTACTGCTAGCATTTCCGCTTTGCTTCTCGTCTGGTTGACTGGATCTTTCGACTGACTTCAAACGTGACAACTAGAACCAACTAATACTACGGCCTAGTTTTATGTTGCTTTTATGCCAAATCACACAATCAATGAAATTAAGTGGTTATTTTCAGATGCTTGAAAGACTGACTGTTTAAGGGCACCCAATACTTATCTCAGTATTATGAACTGAGACCATAAAAAACTATGACGGTCAAAGTCTGTCGAAAAATTCGACAGCCGATAGGATTTGCACAAATGCAGTTATTTCAACAGTTTGAGTAATTAACTCACTTTTAAATAATTACAAACAGAACCTCATTGTTATAGCTAGGGTTTACATTTTTAATATCGCTTAGTATACACTTGATTTGTAACTAAATGTCAAAAAACCAACTACTGGCTTTTCGTTCTCCCTGTAAAAATTATTAGCCGTTAATGAACAAACCAACACACTAAATAAATCCTTAAAAATAATTTTTCCACAAAATAAAACTTAGCTAGTTAAGAAAATATTCACCTTTTCCTTTACTTGAGTAAGCTCTTTTTCTGCTTCTTCCTTTGTAAGACTAGAGGTAACCCTTTTAAGTTCTAGACAAAAGTGAAAAATTAGAACTGGTGCACCTTACCCTCACTGACACTTTTCAGTTTTTTTTGTTCTTCTGTTAATTCAACCGATAAATTTGCACTTTGAACCTCCATCTTTTTAATCTCATTTTCATCGAATGAGGGGAGCTTATTCTACAATGAATTAATAAACTTCGGTGCGTTATGTTAACCTGGTCATAAACATAAACCTTTTGCTTTCCATAAGCTTTCTCTTTAATTGAACCTTCTTCAACAAGATCATCCAGAGCTCTAGAAATACCCTACAGAATCGCTAATTTAAGCAGGTATAGTTACCGTTTTTCCATAATTCTTTAAAGCATTACACACATCAATAACGCTAAAAGGTCTATTCTCTTTCTCAAAAAATGTGAGAACATCACCTTCGTAAATATAAGACAGAAATGAATAAAAAATACCTTTGCAAGCAATATTAGACATGATGGTCTAATTTTCCGAATAAATTATCAATTATACAGTATGCAGAAGCCAAGTATGTTTAGTTCAAGACAATTCAACGCTAGGGAAGTGAATATTTGACAATCTCTCAAAATAACGCGTCAATTTTAAAATCAAAGGTAAAACTGGGAAACCAGTTGGCAAACAATTTATTGGATCCACCTAAACAGTGTACAGCGATCAAGGGTCTAAGAAACAACAATAATAACGGTAATGTAACTCAGTAACCTATTACCGATCCGTATACTCGTTAAGGAAATACTTCTCCTGTAAGGAAGAGCGATAGTTTTTGACTGCCCGAACCCAAGTGGCTGGTTAGTATTCAGTCAGCCATTACCAACGCAGAGCTTGGAACGAATGAGCATAAAAAGTGCGAGACAAAATTAAGAGGATGAGCAGCGAAGTTATCAGAAAATTCGTAGCATCAATGATAATAGAATTAAGCTCTAAAGCAAGTGCATGAAGGAATATTGAAAATCTTGATCTAAGAAAGGATGTGAATCAAATGCATCTGGGATATTGTAATAGATTTTGAGCCACATCACCCAACGTCGCCAATCAATCATCGTGGTTGTCACACAAAACCTGGGATCCAGCTGGGTTAAATTATTTTATTAGTTAAGGGAAAGACTTTATTGATTTGAACGAATTGTCGATAGTAAAAATAAAAGAATGTTCATCGATAGATGAACAGTGGCACACGATGGCTGAGTGATCGCTGACCACGAGAACGAGAAAACAGCTCTGTAGGTTGTTTACTCTAATGAGTGAAGACATGACTATTAGATCTAGTTTCTGTTTATCATCTAAATTCTGTTCCCAAGCCAGTCAGGTCATTTCATCCACAAATACTGTGGAAAACTTTTACAAGCATCCATAGGTCCCTAAACAAAATAGTCGTAAACAAATACTTCCTCAGATGATAGTATCATAAATGTTCCGCTTCAGGATTATAAAAAGCCATAACACCATAAAACTCAAAGGTTACGTGAAATAAACATATGTATTTGATCCTTATTACGGTTTTAGTGATAAGCTTTTGATTTCGAAAGTTCCTATTAGCTAGAGGTCGGTGTTAAAATTTAACGACTATTTACAGAACCGTTCAACATCGCAATTCTGATGAAACCACCATATTTCTATGGAAAATTTAGCACCAGATATAACTGTTACTCGGTTTAGTCATTTAAATGGGTTAAAGTAAGCCCCTTTACGCCCAGATTACTTGACATGAGTTATGATATGGATAATTTTTGATAAAATGAAATCTGACGGACTTCGACGAAATACAAATGATTTGACATACTTCTTTTACTCATAATTTCGCAATCCATGGGCTTTAGGACTTTCGAATTTCCCAACACTGTGAAAATACCATGTAAATCTTGGGAAGAATACCCTAACAATTGTAGATTTTGAGTAAAATTCCTAGACCGGATAAATTCTTCCCACTTGGGAGTTCGAGTTATGATAGTTGCTAATAGGGATCACAGCTCTTATGTGAGATATTACTATTCACTCCAACTACAGTAACAAATCTTTAAACACATGAATACATGCTGATGGGGTATAGTACGTTGAACCGATGCACATATGTGCCAGGCCTTGCAGAAAACTTACACTGCGCTTGACTGCTGAAAAATGCAGATATACGGTTAAAATGGCTGTGGATGGAGTAAAGGCCCTCCCTTAATGAGTTTACGTATCCAGTAGCAATAGACCACTATTCCCAGGACAAAAGAATCAAGAGTATTAGCAAATTAATATGGAATAGTGTTTGAAGTTCATGAAGGGCTACAGAATTGACTGAACCATAGCCGGTAACGAAATCTAAGGCCTGAATAGTTGTAACACGGTGTGCATACAGTTTAGTTTACTGCCGGACCCTTAATATTCGGGTAGTTGCCCTAAGGTTCATAAAGGAAATGAACTTAATTGGATCTTCCACAGGATGTTTGGAATGTTAAATCACTAGACCACATATTCTGAAGTATAAAGATCCATACTGAGGGTTTTCGGCGTAAGGTGAGTTGGAGTCGCTAAATGACTTCGCAGCTTGTCTTTTAAATATGCTATAGAGTATTCTTGTTATTTCGAAGCGAAGGATTAACCAACACATGACCGTACTTTAAGTATGACCTAACGAAATTGTTGAAGATTAGATTGGATGTTTTTTTAACAAACTGGCCAAGAATGGCCTTCAAAGTTACCAGTACAATGCTTTTCCTGAAGGCATTTCTGTCGTAGCGCAAGATTTTAGATGATATCAGGATACAGTTCTTTCAGAAATGACAGTTCTGGATGGGGATTTTCTAAGTTGCATGTGCAGTTTTTAACACGTTGCAAATGTCTGCGACACCCATATAGACACACATCGAAGTGTTGAATATATTTTTGTCTATCTAAATCTGAAGTCAAGTCATATTCTCATAGGTCAGATTATCATTCTGGTTTTAAGCTTCACCTCAAGGCTCAGTCCAGCCGGCGTCCTAGCACTGAACCCCTCACGTTGGACCACACTAAGATACTGAGAAAGATTATTTTACTCTGGCCTTAATAATACATAAGTATTCGCAGCAAGCCAATGCAAGCAAGTTGTTTAGCAATGTAATGAACGACTAGTTAAGCTAGCTGGATTTACTGTCAGAGTGAAGATGAGATGCATATAAATTCTCAGATCATCTAGCTTTCAATTAAGTACAAATTCTCAACTGACGATACAGATCCAACCAATCTACCAATAACTTTAAACCAAGGTCGTTTGTAATCACATGAAGAAGGCGCCAGGATTACTAGAGATATATTGTTGGTATTAACAAACAACCACCACAAAACTCAATAATTAACCTTCTTAAAACGAAAACTTGCAAGCTGTTTATACCTGCTTCCTTCATAACGCTTCATTCTTCACTATTCAAACGTAAGAATAGGAGGTCAATCAAACTATGTCCTCTTAGACGGTCAATCTTAGACAGAAGGAAAAGATAAGACACATTAATACCAAGATCTTGATTTATTATAAGGCAAGCCAGTATTAAGACGCCTCGTAACCTGTGTTAAAATGATGGAAATATGTCGTAGAGTTTCAAAGAGACTTTTCCCTATTTTTGTCCCTTGTCGTTGAACTTGATCAGACATATCCGCTTCTTACGTAAAGCAAAGACTCGTTGCTTGAATTCCACATTTCGAACACAGTAGAGCAAACATTTCTGAAGATTGATCTTGGTGAAGCATATAACCAAATTCCTATGACTGCAGATGACATTCCTAAAACCTCTGTTATCACTCATTTCAGACCCTACGAATTTTCGGGCATACCTTTCAGTTTGAGATATGTTGCACGAATCCCTCAGAGATTCATTGATGACGTCTCTAAAAGTTGAAACTTCGTGCACGTATGTGTAATCCGTACACAGGATCTCATATTGAGCATATGGGCTTTGTTTTCGAACGATTGCAAAAACACAGTATTACTGTAAACATTCAGACATGTCGGATCGAAACCGACTTCACAGATTTTCTCGGACAGACTATTGATACTCAAGATATTCATCCTCTGTAGAGCAAAGTGGAGACCATTCTAGATTACCCAGAATCAACCACAGTCAAGCAACTACGTACATTCAACGTCCTGGTAATTTTTTCTGCGGCTGATCTGTACCTGTTTTAACCCACAGCCCTGTAGCTATAACTCAAGCAAATAGGGACAAATAAGAGAAGTTTACTGTATGACACACCTGTAGGTAGGAATCGCCCAATCTTGCCGAAACATTATCGACGCAATGCCTTCAATACGTCGCACAAGCTTACTTATCCAGCAAATGTCCTATAGGCACTTCTGAAACTCTCAATGCTCGTTTCGACCATGTTCAACTCGATGTGGTATGACCCTTAGCAGATTTGAATAGACCCCATAAACTCCTACATTGTGTAGATTGTTCCACATGATAGTCAGAACCAGTATCTCTGAAGGACAATAATGCTGAAACAGTGGCCTGCTTAACATATCAAGGTCAAGGGTAGGCTCTTTGGTCCTAAACTTCTATCTGGTCACGTCTTAGGATCACCATTACCCCAGTGGTAAAGAGTGAGCTGTAGCGATAAATAAAGCATGGAAGGCTTTTCCTAGAATTATTCAGTTACTCAGCAAGAAGACTATCCCCCCATATAGTTTAGAATGATAATCTAAATAATCTTTTCCACTAGTTTGGGGATTACACTGGTTAAACTAACAGATCAATAGTTACCAATGTAGTCTGCACTCCATCCTACTTCATAAATCGGGCTGATGCTTGCGTCTTTCTAATCTCTTGGTAGTTTGGAGACCTCAAAGACATCACAGGTATTGATAGGGGTAGCTAATGACATGGCATATTGGCCAGAGTTATGCACAACTTCGAACGGGAAGTTTAGTCCTAACGTGATTTACATTTCTCAAACTTTTGCTGTGTTCTTACGCAACAAAAGTATCATTTCCAATCCAAAGAATCTATTCTGAGCTATACGTTCGGTAGATTACTTCTTTTTTGTGTTTCACTCAAATTAATAGTTAACTGTGGTTTTGCCTCGGCTAACTATCGGTTTTTTTTTATAGTTTTCACGTAAAGGCTAGCTTTAGCTTATCGTTAACTGTTTTTATACATTTTTAATAGTTTTTGTTTACTGTGTGTTTTTTTTATCGGTCCTAAATTTACTGCTTATATTTTTAAGACAGTCTAAATCACTAGCCATGAAAAATTCATGCAAGAGACCTGGTTGCCGTTTTGCCGTTACATCTGGCATGCAATGTGACAACTGTAAAGGTTGGTTCCATGATGCATGTACAGACCTAACAGCAGCAGCCTATAGCAGACTCAGCAAGTCTGATCGTAGGTGGGTATGTGTTACCTGCAACACCGATACGGTAGTTATGTTGGGTACTATCATTACTTTACTGACAGGTCTGAGAGATAAGTTGTCTAAGAATTCAGTAAATGACATCATCATGACGGGTAACAAAGCTGGAACGCATAGGGCAAATAAGAAAAAGGATACTGACAGGTCGGTTATCGACGGTGCTGTTAACAGCACGAGTGATGATGTGTTGAAACTCAGCACCATCCTAACATCGACTGTCATCGACTCCCTCAGTAAACTTGGGTCCACCGGGGAACGGTCCTTGAATGAGACAGTGGTTCCTAAAAATCCTGTGGGTGGATGGACTCACGTTAACAGGAGTAATAAAGCCCAAGCGTCCCCTCTGAAACTGAACGTCCCAAGTATCGTGCGTAAATCAATTGATGCTTTGGCCGCACAGTCTACACCCAAGACTGTCCGCCCGGTCATCACTGAGCCCAGGAATCGAAAACGCGCCTCGACATCCAAACAACAAGATACCAAACCTAGACGCCCTGGAAAACCTGGGAAATCAATTGCGGTTCGTGACGACTCTGTCATAATCATGAACCTTATTGACAACCCCGATCTTCCTCTGAGTTTGCAGGACAAAAACGATAGGATGCTCTGGGGAGAACTAATCAAGAGGCTTGAACTCCCTAAAATAGAGCCTCTGACCGTCACACGGCTCACTCGGGGGAAGGACTCTAACCACCTAAACCACCCGAGGCTGCTTCGTGTTACACTTAAGAATGCCTCCGACGTAGAAGACGTCTTGCTAGCCAGTCACTTACTGAGGTCCGATGGGAACGTAAGAATACTGCCCGACATACCGTATTCTGAACGAAATCTCATCCGGAACATCCCTAAGGAATCTCGCGAGGCGTTCTTCCGTGGACGAAATATCATTGTGCAAGGTGTGCCGGAAAACACGGACCCAACTCAAGCAAACTCTGATATTCGGGAATGGAAATTCATCAAGCATTCCTTAAAACTCAAGAACATATTGACCCAACAGGTAATGAGACTGGCCAAGAGAGACGGAGACTCTAGGCCCCGGCTGCTGAAGATAACCTTCCCCTCCTCCCACATGGCGGCTGCAACTCTGGAAGCATTTCGTGCCAATAGACGTCGGTTGCCAACTGGCATCCATATGCATCCGGATAGGCCCCACGACAGCAGGATTAAGCACAAACGAAAGCTGGAGCTGACAATTCCACTCGTGGACTGTCTTGATCATAAAAAAACGTGTAAAGGACAGGGACTACCAACTCGGTAAACATAGTATAGGTAGGCTACCTGTCCACTCACACACGGCTCATATAGACAAACAAGAAGAGGCTCACGCGTTCCAAATTGAAAGCATAAACTGCCTATACACGAACGCCGCGAGCTTGCCAAACAAAATGGACGAGCTACGTGAACTTAGCAACGCTAATGATGCCCATCTGATAGGAATATCCGAAACTTGGATAACGTCTCAGTTTACGGACCAAGAGTTAGCAATAACTGGGATGTCTTTATTTCGCAACGACAGAAAAACAGGAATGGGGGGTGGGGTAGCACTATACGTACGGTCATGCCTGGATGCGCACCAACTTCACAACCAAGAGTTTCACAATCTTGACGAGTCAGTATGGTGCTCAGTAAGATTATCTACCACCTCGAGGTGCCTAGTTGGGGTCGTTTACAGGAGGCCCACTGCCGACATCGAATATGACAAACGTCTGCTGGAAGGATTAACTCGCTCTACGCGTCTTGGATTCTCTCATATCCTGATTCTAGGGGATTTCAATCTCCCTAGAATCAACTTCGTGGAACATACATACATTGGTGGTGCCAACTCTACTGAAGCTCTGTTCTTCAACCTTATCGGCGACCTGGGATTATTTGAAAATGTGAAGTCGGCAACCCGTTGGAGAAACAGTCAGACGCCGTCACGCTTAGACTGGGTATTCACAAACGAAGAATTCCTAGTTGACGACCTCTCAATCCTGGCTCCCCTGGGCAAAAGTGATCACGCCGTTTTATCATTTAGCTTTGTCAGCAAGACGGAGCTACGATATCCTACTAGCAACAAGCGCTGGAACTTCAAACGGTTGAATGTGTTAGCTTTACAGGACTATCTTCAACAGGTGGATTGGGATGTTCGCCCTGAAATTGAAGTGGATGCTCATTGGGATTTTTTACTGCACACGATCTTATGTGCTACTGAGCATTCAGTTCCCAAAATGGTCCCAAAAAGCTACAAGCAACCTGCAATCATCAAGAACCGCACTCGTCGTTTGCTAAGCCGCAAAAGGCACTGTTGGGCTGAATATAAACGAACGGATAACAACGGCGCGTACAGGCAATACAAACATATAAGGAACACATGCACAAAGGCAATAAGAGAAGACAGGCTTCAGTTCCAGACCAAGCTTATCGATAGATTCGTCTCCAATCCGAAAAGCTTGTTCAGTTATGCAGCTTCTCTTCGACAAGGCAAAACTGGAGTTTCCCAACTGCTTGGTCCTAATGGCCCGACCAACAACGACAGTGATGCCGCTAACCTTTTGGCTGAACATTACTCCCGGACACTCCAACTGACCCACATTAACCATACTGACGAAAGCTTCACCTGCACCTCTACAGGACTTTCCGAAGTGAACCTGAGTGCTGACTTGGTGCTCCGTAAATTGCAGAACCTAAAAAAAGACACTTCTCCTGGTCCGGACATGGTTCATTCCGCCGTACTGAGGGAAGCAGCTTCAATCCTGGCGACACCACTTAGCGTGATGTTTGCACACTCGCTAAGCAGAGGAAAACTACCGGAAATATGGAAGCTGGCCCACATCACACCAATTTTCAAAGGAGGTCGACGCAGTGAACCCTCAAGCTACCGACCAGTGGCCCTTCTCTCCATACCTTCAAAAATTATGGAATCCCTAGTATTCGACGGCATACTTGATCACTTATCATCCTTAAAGTTCTTCTCGCCTCAACAGCATGGTTTCAGAAAAGGTCATTCTTGTACGACCAACCTGCTGACTGCGGTGGATAAATGGACAAACATCCTTGATCGCAAGGGGAAGGTTGACGTCATTTACCTGGACTTCTCAAAAGCTTTTGATAGGGTCAACCATGCATGTCTTATCAAGAAGCTTGGACGATTGGGTATAAAACCCCCTTTAATTGACTGGATCACTTCATACCTAGAAAACCGACATTTTAAGGTCAGGGTTAACTTCACTCTCTCTCAGGCTATGGAATGTCCTAGTGGGGTCCCCCAGGGTTCAATACTAGGACCTTTTCTCTTCTTGATTTATATTAACGATCTTCCTCAACAAGTTTCATCTGCTTTATTGCTTTTTGCTGATGATGTGAAACTTTGGAGGGAGATACGTACGCACAATGATATACTAGTTCTGCAGGAGGATCTGACTCGACTTCAAAGTTGGGCAGACGACAACGGACTTACCTTCAACACTTCAAAGTGCAAGGTAGTCCATCTGCGACATGTTGCAGACTATAGTTATAACTTAGGTAACTCCCCTCTAGAAGTTTCAAAAGTTGAAAAAGATTTAGGAGTGTTGGTACCCTACGACCTGAAATCGTATGCGAACTGTGACAAAAACGCCTCTCAAGCAAACCTTGCACTGGTAACATTGAAGCGCATTTTTGGCCAGTTTGACGGTAGAACCTTCCATATAATCTTCAACAGTTTTATTCGTCCCCACTTAGAGTACGGAAACATAGTATTTCCTCCCTCCCTCCAAAAGGATAAGGTCACTCTGGAGCGTATACAACGTCGAGCCACGAAATCAGTTCGGGGTCTCAAATTCAAACCTTATGAAGAGCGCCTCAAATCACTTAACCTTTACCCGTTAGAGTATAGGCGTCTTAGAGGTGATCTTCTTATGACTTATAGTATCCTTAATACTTCTGGTCATCCCCTTAAACAACTTCTTAAGCTTAGTCATAACACTAATCTCAGAGGTAACACCCAGAAATTGGAGACCCTACATAGCAGAACAGACTGCAGACACAACTTCTACTCCGTTAGAGTTGTCAAGTGCTGGAATTCGCTGCCGACTGAGCTAGTCCAAGCGACCTCCCAGGAGTCCTTTAAGAGAAAACTTGACTTATTCTTAAGGACTAAGGATAACATATTATTATGATTTACCAAATTCTTTTTTTCCCTCTATTATCGTTCATATACCTAGGTTTTTGCCTGGAGGTATTGGTGATCCACTGCTACCAGACACGGAAGCCCGTTAAGCGAAAGCTTCTTCTATTCCGTCCTCAACCATTTGAACCATTTGAACTTCTTTCGGTTATTACAAGGCAGTGTGTGCTAGTTTTCAAGTCCAGACTGACAATCTTTCCAAGATCAGTGTGTCAGACCAACCGATGCCTGAAAACTATTCAACATAAATGGATCAGTTTCATCTACCCATAGCATTCTCGGGATCTCCAGGACTCCAACGATCGAGCTTATTTCTGTCACGTGTAGGCTTATAGATATCATGACAACTTAATGCTTCAGAAAACTGTTGTCAGAAATACACATACAGTTGCAGAGGAAATCATTGATAAAATAATGCGAAGCTACTTCTGAGCAATAGTTGATGTGTCGAGTCATATGCGATCTGATCTGGCTAGTTGTTGTGAGATATATTCAACTTGGCGTATTTAAATTTGATCTGTTGAGGATGGCTGTCTGAGTGTACTGAGTTACGAATGTATCCAGTGAAACTGATCAGCTCAGCGTCAATGTCAAAGACTGACAAAAGTAGTTTATTTCCATGGTTTATCTACTGTTCAGGCTTTAGTCAACCCAGGACAAGGTTGCAGATGTCTGCATCGCCACCAACCGTCTTCTCAATTAATACGGCAACACTTAAGTTTAGTCGTTCAAAAATTGAGGAAAACCCTTCAGTTGCAGTCACAGAGTGACCCGACCTCTTGTACATGTTAACGTCTACTGTAGCCGGTGGATATACCCTTCCGTTATATATGGCTAGTACGAAAACAAAGATTTGGTGTCTCATGGACACTGGGCCAGAAGTCAGCGTCTACACGACTTTGTCGTCACCTGTGGATGTCAAGCGGTAAACTGATAGTTATTTGCCATAACAGGTATCTTTACCCAATGCAGTTTTATTCAAACCCATAAACGAGGTTTTAGTCATTGCAGACGTGTCAATGTGAACCATCAGAACAGACCTGTTACCATATCTTAACCGAAACAACGACCGAAGCAGATGGATACCGGTGGATAAAGGTATCAAATTATCTGTCTGGAGAAATTCCTTTTCTGATTGTAGGCTAAGGCCCATCAGAAAGTAAGAGTTAATCGACCTATATTTCGGACTGATGATCGGTAAACATATCGAATTGTGGTAGCCATTATTAGAATCATAACACATAAGCATCAATTTTTCACATCAAATTCCTACAGGACCGCATGATTAGTTTCCAACTGGTGATCGCTGATGACTTAATTTAAATACTACCCTTTATCGTCACGAGTTACTGTGTATCCAAAAACCGACATATCTCAGAAGCTGAGTGTTTTTTTCAAAATCTGAACTGGTCAAAGCACATAAATAAATCCCTAAAGTGATTGTTAGGTGTTGGAACCACGTGCCATAAATATAAGTGACGTGATGTTGTACTGCTTAAGCTCAATTATTCTTTTCAAGATGATAAACAGTGACCTTTGCTTATGTGATTTTCGGGGGGATGATGAGTTGTAAACAAGTGGAGTACAATTCCCGACTCATGCCTATGATAACGGCATTGACCCTTATCAGTGTTGTGGTAAAATTGATCGTGATGTTTTCGGTTTGCAGGAGATTTTCTTGACAGCTGATTTGAGTGAACGATTGTGTCGCTAAATTTCCAGTCAAACTGAAAAAGTTATTAGATAGTTATTGAATGAGCAACTGACAGAGAAAAACATAGAAAACATCTTTAATAGACTATGATAACCACGAGGAAACAGCAATATAGAATTATAGTTATAAGTCGAATTATCGACAGAGTTTGTGTTAATAGTTTCATCAATTTTACCAGTCATGAAAATGCTTTATGACGACATGCAGAAACTATTATAAATAACTAGATATAGTGTTGATTGTTAACCAACAAGTGGGAAATAGGCATTATTGTTTTACTTGTTTGGGAAATATCAGAAGATTGTGGCGTTAAACGAATCCGAGGTGTGTCAATAAATTCCAAACTGTGGTCCGAAAATATTTGTACACTTGGTGTTATTTTCGTATAAGTCGCTGGAATTTTGATTTCGAACGCTTGTTTGAGTAACAACTACGTAATCGTTTAGTTATTATACCAGTGCGGTATGATAATACTTCGATGCGGTGACTTTATTGTCTTAACTATGTTAGACGTCTTTTCAGGTAATTAATATGATAGTCCATTCAATAAATAAACTCAAATACTCAAAACAATAACGACCATAGTAGGTTCAATGAAAATTGTTAAAGGGGGTTCAAATACTTTCTAAATCCAAATGGTATAGTGGTGATATAATGCAACACATGTACAAGCCAGGTTAACATATACGTTGACAAGGAATACAACAATTAAGAAGAAATTTGGCAAAGAAAATTAAAGGTTGGTACATGACTCATGGAACTGCAGTTAGGAACATGAAGGATATAATATATAACCTCCACAATTGGTTGTTTTAGTTAGCCTAGTGACACTGAATAATGTATAATAAAGAAATTAAGAGCCAAAGAGTGTCCAATTAATTTTGAATCTAATATGGTTCTCCTGAGCTAGCGAATATGTAAATCGAATAGATCCAGATAGGAATTAATGCAACGACCAAACTTTAAATATTTGATCTGAATGCAAAAACGACCTAACAAAGTAAGGTCTATTTAATTATGACATACCAGGTTCTCCTAAATGGTGTACGTAGCTTTTTTGAGATGGAACTCTATCAGCATAATTAAAAGTAACGTATTTGACGGTCAAATCAGCCGCAGAATAATATACAAAAAAATCACTGTTGTGTGCAAAAATCCCATCACGCTTCTGATTTTACGCACCGTTAAGATTAGCATTATACGGTTATCGAAGTAAACAATTAACGAATCGCGGCACTACAATTTTAATGAAATTTAAATGCATAGATAGAAACATAGTTGATAAAAGTGTATTCCCACTCAGGGCTACGTCACATATCGATACTAGGCAGAAGGGGATAACTAATTGTATACTTCTGCATTTATATTACTGCCCGAATATTCATGGCTTTTTATTTCAACAGAATATATATCTGTTGGTATGGAATTTCAGGATATCATTACCATTCTTGTAAACAAATTGGCTATCTTATGTATCTTAAGATTGTAAAGTTCTGAAGTAATTAAGGTATTAATGACATTGTGTGAGCAAGTAACACTTAACTTTTCTGTTTCTTTCTTTGGCTTCAGAAAAACGTTACTAGCTATAAAAATTTATTAACAAGAGTGGGATATCTGTACATTTTTAACAGTTTAACATCATTAAATTATTCCGTCGATGGCTCACTGATTGGCATTTTCACTGAAGAAGAAATTATTGGTCTAGAACTTTGCTTATTGATAACAAGAACCTGTAGTATAAAACAAGAAGCATCAGAGATACTAAAGACTCAAAAATTGTCATAAAGGACGGCAATAAAAAGCCTTTTGCACGTGACCTATATCGACAATTCAAGACTGAAGTTATATCATAAATAGACTTGAACTAAAAACTGCTAGATATTTGACTATAATAGTGGTTACGAATATCAAATATAAAAAGATTTTGCATTGAAATTTTGTAAAAGTGAACTATGAACGCTGAATACCTTTGCGAATATATTTCTAGATATACTGATGCAAGGGGATTAAAAGATGCCTACATTTTATATAAAATACCAGTTCACACAGCTTACAGTGATGCAACAAGTATGAAAGTTATTTTAGCTACTGATCTTAATACTCCCCATTGATCATAAGAACTTGAAGCTGTAGATATGCAGTGTTTCAAAGTAACGATGAAATGTTATTATCTTTCTAAATTTTATTGATAAAAGGTCTACTATCTCACCGAAAAATATAAATCAAGCGGCTAACATACATAATTGAAGGTTATGTGATGTATCTGAATAAGTTTCTCAAGTTTTAAACTTCGTGTCATGCTTAAGATTATAGTTGCTATCTTTAAAACTCCTAATAGGAACATTAATATAATGGACTGTGATAGTGAGCTGCACTGAAACTAGACAATCAAAGCGTTACATTCTGTTGTTTACCGTTAAATAAAGGGTTGTACTTCTGAATTTAAAAGATATCTTCTAAAATAAAAAAAATACTTAAGAGTACTAAGCTGGGTTTGCAGGTAAGTGCAAATAAAATGGTCAAATTTAGCTTGTGATCATATTACTTAAATGTTGATAGAATATGACAATGATATATAGTCGGATAACAGCTAATATCATGTCAGTTAAAGTCTCCAGATGGAAAAAAATTAATTTCCCTTAGAAAAAGTTTCAAGCTAAAAAAGTTTCTATCTGAACACTTAATAGTTAAATCGTCTATTTTGAAATTAATACTTTGAAGACTTCTTTTAATAGTCCAGGGTATTAGTAATAATAACCAACCTATAACCGAAATCTGATATAACAAAGTACACTATTCCATGTTAATTTTATTTCATAAATAATTTTACGCAAAACCCTAAATAGAATCGGATTTGGGCCATATTATTATTGAGATTATAATGATGTATTCCTCTTGTAAAATTAAAAGTAAACATGATAACCTATCAAATATGGAGATTATGTTTGAAGTATAGTTAATAGCATATCATCACATCATATACACCTAACCCATCATATACAGTCAGTCAGTCAGTTACAACGTAGAACTTCGTACGTACGTACATCAGTTCGAGTTGCCATACCAAATTAGCACAGAGATGAAGTTGTCGATTCAAATCCTATAGTGGTAGAAGTAGTAAGAGTATAAGCATTATGTGAAAGATTAGGGTTTGAAGATGTTATTCAAAGAGTATAATCCAGTGAAATAGATTTGGAAAGAGAGAAAGAATAGGGGCATGAAGAATTCAAAAGGTTAGAATTTAGTAGAACACAAAGAGTGTATGCACCTTCGCCATTGCAAACGATTTTGAGTCATGTCATTCAAGGTCTCTAACCATCGGTTGCTATCATCTTGCAGGTCCCAACCAGGTAGTCCACACTTATCAACATGGCCCAGTCCACTTGTCAGTGACTTCATGTATTTCTGCCACATTTTGGTCTGGCCGCCCCTAGCTATCTTCCAACCTGCTCTTACATCATAAAGCATTGCACGTCGGGGCAGTCGGTGGTTGGGCATACGTAACACATGTCCCAGCCATCTCAACTGATGAAGTTTCACTACTTCATCAATCCATTTGCCATCCTTACCTAGTACCCGTTTCCTAACAACTGCATTACTTACCCGGTGGTCCCAGGATATACGAGCAATGCTTTGAAGACACCTATAATCGAATACTAGTAGCCTACGAATATCCTCTACTCTTATCGGCCATGTTTCACTGCCATAAAGTAGGACGGAACGAACTGCTGCACAGTAAACCCGTCCTTTGGTTGCTAGACGGATATCTCGCCTGAGCCATAAATGACGAAAGTTGGTGAAAGCTAGACGAGCCTTCTGTATCCGTGCTGAGATTTTGTCATACACCAGACCACAAGGGCTGATGAAACTCCCAAGATAAGTGAAGACTCATCATATACACTACCACTAAATTTATTTCCCAGCAATAAATGCTTAACTTACAATAAAATTGTATTAAAAAACTAATTTTAAGGCTGTACACTGAAACACTTATGCGAACAGATAGAAATGTATTAGGATTAATGTCATTCTAACGTATCTAGTTAATTTTAGATTAGAAATAATGGTAATGTATGAAAGTATATTTACAATCCTGAATCAAAGTTGTGCCTTTCACAAATTATTTATTATTCAATAGTTATCAAAATATATATTACCAACAAGGAAAGGATAAAAAAAATATAGACCAAATACAATTTTGATTACAAACCTTTATTTCTTCTTCATTTATTGTTTCATGAATCAAAGTGATGGAAGAAGTGTAACGGTATTTGAAACAAGGATAAATTGTAGCCACCTAGGATGATTAAAAAAAACACTAGAATAAGTAGTTATTAATGAAGATCACAAACAATGGAGATTTAAATGCGTTTTAAAGAGCTTAGGCTGCATCATCTGACTCACTATCATATCTCGGTTTTGATAAATAGATCGCACATCGTGTGTATAATAGACTTGTGATTATTTCCATTCTGTTATGAAATTATTTAGTCAAACCGTGCAACTCTGATCAAAATGAGATAAATATAGATACATAGATCAATAATTGGTGATAAAGTGAACTACAGAGGGTAAATTAATTAGTAAAAATTCTATTTTTCCAAAATAAAAAGGTGGTTGGTTCTAACGGAAAATTCATAAGTAAACAACTTTTCAGCAGTAACGTTTCATCACCCTTCCTGTACAGCTTTAGTTCACCATGCATTACAAATAATGTAAAGTTAAGTCAAAGGTCTATCAAAGTTTTGGTCCAAAAATGTTGAATACAATATAATGGTAATTCAAAGCATAATCGTTTTGTCCAATTTCTTGACCTTTTTTAAAACCTGAGTGGCATACATTTTAGACAGAATAATTCAGTCGATTAATCAATACAGAAAAAGAACACTTCTTGCCATCATAGCTTCAAACTATTAGACTTTAAGTATTCTATATTCATTCTAGAGTCAACCGAAGCTTCTCAAACTGGATACAAGTAAAAGTCAAAGTTTGGTAAGCAAAGATGGATAGTGGCTAGAAGTGGAATCCAGGACGCGCGTTTCGTCCTATTCGGGATTCATCAGCTGGGTGCACCTGCATCTCAGAGTCGATGTTCACTCTGGGACTCGAACCCATTACCTTTCGCTTCAAACGCCATCGCGTTATCCACTCGGCCACTGTATGCACATATACCAATTAGAGACTGACCAGTTGCAGTCCTAACACATCGATGGGAAGATTCAAACAAACAATACTAAGTGAATTTTATCAAAGTTTGTTTAATATTCTCTAAATTTTTGAAATATCTAAAAATCTCAACATTTAATCCACAAGGTGTTAAAAGATATTTAAAACTGATCATATACGTTATGTGAAAACCGAAAAATGCCTGAAATTACATATATCCTATCAGTTTTATTGCAAAATTCTTAAGAACGTATAAAAGTCAAGTCATTTAAGTTTTTTCCTACTGTGATTAGTCAATAATCTAGACGATTACTAGCATGATTATTTTTTTCTTAACGTTTCTAGGAAAGGATAATTACCGGTAAACGCATAAATATTACCTGATTTTCATAACTAAATCTGACTCAGTAACAAAGCTTCCAAAATGTTTCTTCTTTTGGTCTCGCGTAGGGTTTAAGCGATGAATATTACAGAAGCCTAGGTGTCACTTAATATATTAGTGTCTCAAACTTTCGATGTACCAGAATTATCAAAATGTAATATTATTAAAAATCTATTTGAAATCCAGCTGTAACCAAATGAATAAAAGTCTAACTTACTGGAATCAAAACCGGATTCACATGATAAACTGAAGCATTGAATAATATTAAAATATACAAACCATTCAAAGTTGACATTGTATTGCTTTTTATTTGAACTATCTCGCAAATCAAAGTAAATTCAGGTCCAAGACCTTGAACCTAAAAATTGTCAATTATGCGTTAAAACAACGGAGATGAAAATAATAATAAGCAGTGAAATGTTTCTCGGATTTCCTTATGTCCAAAATATCCAGGTATAAACGTCTAGAAGAGTAGGAAGCAAACACTGATAGCTGATTCTGTGTATTGTTACGCAGTAAATGAATTGCCTGAATCGATTGTTTTAAAAGATATGTTATTCCAAATATCACCAAACGTATTTATAATAGGTGCTTATTTGACAACATAATGTACCATAGCAGTCTATAAAATATTGAATATAAATTTATATAACAAACTGCACGTCTAGTTAACCACTAGATAGTAAACAAAGAATATTCAGGTGAACACCGTAATTTCATTGTGATTGTGTTCTTTTATCACCATCTGATTAAAAACAGGACTACCCTAATATATTAAATAACTTCACCCACAAAAAGCGCCTTTTGAGGTGTACGTGTAATATGCTCCTATTTTCTCAAAAAGTCTACATAATACCGCTTAAGGCCCACCAACTCACATCAACGCTATATCTTGTAACCCGTAAGGTGAAACAGACACTTTGATAATAGCTGAAGAGTTCAATCATTAGTATTTTCACGCTTATTATTGACTGCATAACGATTGAATGGTATTAATGTTATTGAAATTAATACCATATTTGATTTCATATATATGCTATCATTAAATCCTGTTAGTGACAACGTAGATGTAAAAAGTCGAGTACGAAAGTATTTGATGGACGTATATACCAGATTTCAGTAATCCAGACAAACGATACGTGATGAAGGAAAATGCATGTAAAATGGATTGGCTGAAATAACCGAACGTAACCTAACGTTTATAGTTAAACAGAAAAAGCAAGCTAAAGAATTATGAAGGATAGGGAAGGATACTATTAGATATACTCACATATACGCTCACATAAAATCAATCACGGTTATAATGGAATAATTGGCAAGGACGAATATATATCTAGAAAATGATTCAACGATATAAAATTCATTTGTCTGTCCAGAAGTTTGGACAAATAACGTAGGTGTGTACTAACAGAGTATCACAATTTGTTATCCATAATAGCCTCATTAACCCAACTACAACACTATATGTCTTACAGCGTGATTCGAAGTAACAATAACAATATAAAGGTATGTATACTTGAGGAATATTTTCGATGTATTAAGCGATAACCAAAGTACAATTTTTTTTTAAGAATCCATTAGAAGACGAAATTCAATAGTGAAAAACTTACTTGAACATTTAGTTTAATTTGATCACCGTAACCAGATACTGGGATAGGATTAGAATAATTTTCTAACATATTGAGAAAGGTGGATGAAATCGATCGCTTAAGAAAGCGTAAATCATTCACAAATTGACGATACATTTCTGGAAAAAAAGTTAACATAAAAACTCAATATGAAACATATTGTATTGTACACAACTCTGTTATATGATGAGCAAACATTATCAGTCACCTAATCTGAAGGTGTGTAGGCCAACCATCTAACTAATCAGTCTATAATAACTTATCCTTAGAAAATTATATCAGCAAACAGAAGTATGGTAAGCAGAGATGGATAGTGGCTAGCAGTGGAATCCAGGACGCGCGTTTCGTCCTATTTGGGACTCGTCAGCTGGATGTGGGAAGATTCAAACAAACAATACTAAGTGAATTTAAACAGAATTATATTTGTGTAATGTTACAAATTATTATATTTAGCCCCTAAAATGTGAAAAAAGTCGAAAAAGAAAACAAAATACATGAAAGATACTGTAACAAATACGACACCATCGTTGATTGTATATATTTATCAGTAGTTTAATTTTTCAATGCATTTACAGAACATTTAACTCCTATTTAAAACCCATGTTTAACAGAAGTTGATAGGCTGAAGGAATCTATAATGATTGTGAGAAGTTACAAAGAATCTACATTATACATATACATAGACTTCAAACATCCATTTGCATCTTTTGGTGCGTTTTGCAATATAAACCGTCTTCTCATTTGATCTTCAAATGTTCTATTTACGTCAAGCTTTCGCTAAACTAACTTTTTCCCCTACGTCTGGAGAGTGTTGCGAATTCCGCTGCATACTACTCACAATCAATCATGTGACTAGCCTCCATTACTCCTGTAATATATATCCACATAACATGTTTTTTTCTACAATAAACTAATGTTTAGAAGTCAAAAAGAGAAACTCGAACAAAACACAACAGAACTTAAGCAAAAATATCTATGTGTTTTAATAAATTATCTTGAATACAAAAAAGAATAGAATCTGAAATACCGTGATAAAAAATAATTGGATAGACACTGGAGACTTTGATGGGAAACAATAATGATCAGTATGATAAACAATTAAAAGAAGAATACTAACGTGCCTCACTACACCGGGCCAAGTTTGATGAACAATCAAGTTCCATTTTTCTTTAAAAAAACTCATTTAATTATCGTATTAGTAAAAGGTTTTTTTGGGAAGTATTTTTTTCTTTTAAGTGTTGTAATTAACTCACATACATAATTCACTTGGCTGTCAAAAGGGTAAATGTTTTCTCCAAAATTTAAAGATTACTATAACTGATATTAACATAGTTCTTCTTAATATTCACAAACCGTACATGTTTATTTAAACACAGCAAATAATCTTGAGTTTTAGATAGTACATATACAAAGAAGTTCAGTTCGTTTATATCTTTCTCAGAAATAAGAAATTTCGTTATTTCATATCAGTACCACAGCAATACTCCACAAATAGTTAAGCTAATCGAGTCATTTATTATAGACATACACAGAAGAAATATTAGGTAACGATTTCATTCCTAACATCCTGATCCCTTGATAAACTAAAATAAAGCGAGAAGAAAAAGATTTGCAGAATCACATGAATTCATTATATGTCAAGGCTTCTCATTGGCTACAAACAGCTCAAATATACATAAGTAATATTATAAGTAATACCACAAAAAAGGACGTCTACAAGGTTTTTAGAACATATTCCCCGTGAGTTGTATTTAAAAGGAAGTTAAGTTTTCACAAACGCAATCACTAAACATTTAATGGGCACAGAAAACACAAGGTGGATGTCTCTAGAAGCATTCAAAATAATCCATAGACATTGTATGTCACTTTTACTCCATTTTGCAGAAGTTGTAGCCATCAAGAGCTTTCAACCTGATGTTTGCATAAAGAAAGTGTTGTAAACCTATCACTGCCATGGTAAAATAGCTATATTATTTTAAGCCTTGTCAGTTACATATATAAGAACTCTCGTCTAAATTAGAGCGAATAGTTTCACAGTATTTGAGCGCTGAGATTTTACAAATATATTATTCCTATTTAATGTCTTGTCAGTTACATTATCGCTTCAATATGGTTTCTAAATATACATCAAAAATTCCATGGCAATCACTAAAGATGTTAAATTTCACGTTATGTTAAATAGGAATCTTGGTTACTACTCATTTGGAAACAATTTATTTTTATTTATTGTCCCTTTATTATCACTTATAACTTCACCTCCTCTTTTTTGATGATTTCATTCTCAGCATATAAATACTGATTAATCAATCTTAACTACTATTTTAAATATGTTGTCTCTGTAGTGAACGAGAACACAAGTGGGGACAATCGAATGTATTTCAACACGAAATTACAGAACATCTTGGTAAAATTTGATAACCATACAGTAAATAATTCATTTGCAAAGTATCAATCAATTGTCTCTAAATTGACTGTTCTTTAGTTTCTACACCAATAATTCTCTGTTCTCGTTCTCTTCACTTCGATCTTAACCTCCTGTTGCCAGGTATTTCACTTTTGATTGATGATATGTACTACGTATATCTGTCGACATCACTATCACATACCACAGTCTCCTCTCGTTTTTTAAGTCGTTCCAAACTAAACTTCATTGAATAAATTATATAATACATGATTTTGTAATAATATTAGTGATTTAAATCTAGGTGGCTTCCAGATGATTAGAAGCTCTGAAATTTGATGAATTCATTTTATTCTGTGAATCTCGTTCTTTTTGTTTTAATGAAGATTATTTTATTACAAGTGATTACCACTAAAAAAGAGAACACTCACGTGGTGCATTCAACTGTTCACGAGTAGTTAAATCCATAAATAAATTCGATTTTTTGGGGATATTCAAATTATCAAGTTTACCAATTGTACGAGAAGAAATCACATCCATTGGAATAAAATTAGCTGTACGTTTAACAATTAAGATTAACATGTGTCCAGCTGAACAAAAAATAATTAAATAAATAACTTCATCTTTACGTCGTAATTAAAACATTTATTCATGTTACAGGTATGATAAGCAGAGATGGATAGTGACTAGTAATAGAATCCAGGACGCGCGTTTCGTCCAATTTGGGATACATCAGTTGTACCTCCATCTCAGAGTTGATGTTCATTCCGAGACTCGAAATCAATACCATTCACTTCGAAACGCGCTTCCTGGATTCTTCTGCTAGCCACCATCATCTCAGCTTATAATGCTTGAGATTTAAGGCAATATAGAGGCAATCTGTACAAGATTCACATATACCAATAAGAGATCGATCAATTGCAGTTCTAAACACCAACGGTAAGATTCGAACAAACAATACAAAATGAATTAGCAACAGGTAGGTAGAACCTGTAGTATAAATAAGACGTTCTGATAAATGTCAGTAAGGTGATTGTGGAGATTCTTTTCAAAAGTGGTCTAACTTAGATCGGTTCATGATTTCAATGAAGCTCTGATAAATGATGAACTTTTATATCGATAAAAAAAATTAATCTTGCAATTTTCAGCTAATTAATTGAATAGTGAAATGTACAAAAAGTGAAGTTTATATTTGAAAATGATTGACAAACCTTGAGATACAAGTATTAGTGTATTAATTTCTCTGTCATACTTCCCGAAACAGCAGGCGACAATTGGATCAGGTTTCGCTAAGTGATAATCAATTAGTTTACGTGATTGGTTGTTGTTCTGTCCAGTTTCTGTTACCTTTATGGTACCTGAATTACCAGATGTAATGTTATTTGAAGGATTACTGTTATTATCCTCACTAGTAGTGTTCTGAGTAGAAGGAATCCATGTGATGCATTTATCGCATAAATGTTGATCACAGTAGATCTCGACTGAACCATCTGATAAACAAATGATATAATAAATTTCATGATTTCTATTGTTTGAACTATTAAAATTCATTGGAGCTATTGTTAAAATTTCACACGAATGTCTTACTCTCCAAATTGGTCGACCCTAGAAGGTTGTGTAAAAATGGATTGAATATTAAAAAATTAGAAAGAGCGGTTAATTTATAATGAACATTTTCTAGATTCAACAAATGAAAACATATAACTTATTGAATAAACTTAAAATAAGATTTGATACTGAATTATTTCAAATAGGAATAATCACGGTGGTAGCCCATGACTTGTAGTTACTTTATTTCACTTGAATCACCAAGTCAGATAGCCAATTGTTGTATCATATACACATTTTCTTAGGGGAAGAGGAAGTGAATGAAAAATTTCGTAAATAAAAATATGTAGCAAAGATTTTATCAGTGAGTAGCCAAAACATGACTGATACGTGTGTGTAGAAGAAATATTCGAATATATACTATTATTTAATATAGCCAAATTATTTGTTACTCCAAAGTTATCAAGGTTATTTAGTGTGGTAAATAAAATAATTGGTCAGTTCAGAAAAGATTATGTGGAAGTGGTCATCTACGGTTCTCTGATTAGATTAGGAAGATTATATCGATTTGCACCAATTTTTAAAATGATACAACACCCCTCTTTCTTTTACCATAGATCATTATTTAAAGTAATGAAATTAACTATAAATATGATTGTACAGTTGAAGTGAATGAAATTGTCGAAATGAAATTTTATTCACTAAGTTGTCTTTATTTCTTCCTCAAACTGATTGACAAATTTGTGCAAAACTCTAGACTAGAGCTTAATTTATACTTGGAAATCCTGAAAATGAATGATACAGTTTGCCTAAATTAAAGCAATATTACAGGAAGTACTAGAAATTTGCAAACTTCAATCTATGAGATAACTGAATATCCATTGATCTATTAAAAAATGTTATACAAATATACAGTTGACTCGATATAGTATTACTAGTGGCTCATTCAATGATAAATAATACTTGTGATATCATGAAACTCAGTTTTTTCTAAAATCCACTCATATGAATACCTGTGATGATCCTGTGACTACAGTAATTGTGATGATGAATGTCAGATATTAACATTTTAATTTTTTTGAGGATCCTGATGTGTTTTTTTAAGTCAATTACAGTTGTATGAAGTTAAACCACTCAATTTGTTAAAATACTGACATTTAACGCTTGAGAAAATGAAAAAAGCTATTTTCCTCGATTCAAGTTCATTTGGCTCGATAACAGTCAGCTTGAAATTATAAGGCACAGTAACATTAAACGTTAAAACTTTAAATGACAATATAATATTATTATATTTACACAGATATTTTGTAAATATTTATTAAACAATATGAGGCATTACTAATTCATTCTAGTTATTTACCTCCAGTGAAAATCCTTTAACAGTTTGATCCATACAAGCAAGTATAACAGCTTTCTCTGTACGAAGTAAACCGATAATCTGTGACCCAGTTTCAACATAAACCTTAGCATTGGCTTCCCCACTTGAAGAATAAAAACAGAAATAAAATACTAGTAGCTGTGTCAGCAATGAAAAATATGAAGGTATAAACTATTTTATGTAGACCCACCGGAGAAATACCCAGACAAAAGGAACAATATATTCAGATAAAAACCCGATTACTAGTAAAGAAAGTAATTTTGACATCCAAGTGATACCACCAGTAGACGAGATGTTGTGGCAAAGCTTAGTTACAAAATGAGCAATACTAATTACGGTTAATTTATGTAACAGGATAATTCAAGTTTCCACTGGATTCCATGAGTTCAGAATACGTTTTGTTGAACTTGATATATGTGCTTGGTATTATCGACAACCCTTAGAGGTTAGGGTTAGATGTTGTTTAAAAATCCAGGAATAAGTCTAGTGAAAAGTTTTGAGAGATTCGTTTTCAAATTTATGCAAGGCAATGATATGATGAGCATGCTTTCGTTTGAGATCCAAGCCCCAGTGAAGTGAACCAAGAGTTTCTAATATATTCTGTGTGTGGCTAACAATGTAATTTAGGATGCGGGTCCTGCCATATGCGGGACATGTTAGTTGAATGTACCTAAATCTCAGTATTGTTAACACTGAGATTTAATTGCAACGTTTTTCACCTGAAATACCAATCAGTTATTCACTACTCTGACGAAGTCATAAAATTTTAAATATACCTTCATAAAAATTATAAGCTATCTGGACTTAGTAGCTTAGTGAATGAATGGAATAATCAGTGAGTGAGACTGGTTCGAATGACTACACTTGACTCTAATCTGTTTATGCGTAACGCAGATGCAATGAATGGATTTAAAATCAAATACTCGGGAAGGGCAGATGGCGATATATTGGAAATCGTTCTTGAATCACACTTATTATTTGTTACAGCTCACCTCCCTGAATTCTGCTGACAATTCGGTGCTAGTTGAACCGAGAATAAAATGTACGTTCATAACCACCCACTAAGTCTTCTACATATTTGCTTATAAAAAAGGATAATACCTTAACTTGATCGATTAATATTTCGTATATTATTGGCTTATCTAAATCGAATTTAAACAATAAAAGTGATGAACTTATCACAGTTCTTGATTATGACCGATACACTCTTCGAACACATATCTCAGATTGATCATCACTGGTTGTGATAAATAAGCAACAACTTGATTAATTAGAATTTTGAGTTCCAACATTTTATTAAATTTGAAGTCCTTTTTGCTGGACGATCTAATATTACTTTAACTTGTATCTTTAAAAAAATAAGCCTATTTTGGTAGATAAATTTTGTAACGAGAGATTTAACAACAATAAGTGACGATTTCACGGTTCTCATAGCTTTGGGTTCCATTTACACTTGCAATAAACCAAAATGTTTGCAACAACAGAAACACAAATATTATAAAAATTATTTACCGTTTTATGGAATAAATTATTCCATTACGACATGTCACTAAAATATGATATTCAATATCGAAAGATCCTATTGCGTTTAAATGAACTGGAACAGATGGTAACGCAACCTAAGATACATAAAATAAAGACGATATATATATATATATATATATATATATATATATTTGGTAAATATATGTTTCAACTAAGGAATAAATAACTAAAGACTTCCGAGATTATTTCGTTGATGTTCATAATAATACCTCTGTAATCAACAGTCTTCGGATAAGAAACTTTTCTTTTTTTATGGTGACAATGCATAGAATCGTTTGATATAGATGTGTTTGGTTACATGTTACTTTAGCCAAGAATATTGATAAGAGAAGTTATAAAACTAAACCATTTTAAGATAAGATTTGAATGAAGTAGTATGGTTACATATGTATATTTATGTAGAACATACAATCGCCATTTTCAATGTTGCTACGCAGGAGATAACTATAATATCATTGAAGCACTTAATAATTAATAAGAAAACCCATAGAAAAATTTATATAAATTGTAATGTATTCATCGGTTTCATTAAATTAAGGAGAATGTGATGTACAGATAGCGAAAACATCTGAGAAGATTGATTTTAGACTAATGGCTGCAGTGAAAAACTCGTTTCAACATATTAGACAAATTGCTTGTTGAGACATTTGGTAGTAAATAAATTATCGCCTCAGATTGCTGCTGATCGTTCATTTCATTTTCCATGTATGTGCCAGAGAATTCTTACTTACACCTATTACCTCTCATGGCGAAGCTTAGGTCGTTCACCAGCATTTTCCATCCAACTCTGTCCTGGGTAACCCTTTCCAGTTCTTTCCAGTTGCTATTGATCCTCTTCATGTCTGCTGCCAATTCTCAGTTCAGTGTGTTCTTTGGCTTCCTCGTTTCCGTTTCCTTTCGGGATTCTAAGTTAGCGCTTGTTTCATGATGCATTTTATTGGTTTCCTTAATGTGTGTCCTATCCACTTCTAGGCTCTAAATGATAACCAGACATGCCAGAGCACATGTATTTAAAAAACAGAAAGTATAATTGATTTTTCTATTTCTGAGAACATTCTTTAAAAATTGAGACTAAGAGATCAAAATGTCATCAGTAGAGTGATCCTTCGTTATCTACTTGATTGTGGACATGATTTTTATATTTAATACCATCCAAAATTATCAAGAAACAAACCATTTGGGACTAATAAGGTTCTGTAGATGTCATTACTATCAAAACCGCAAACTTAATCAATATATTTTAAAGGAATATTGTTGTCACTCTTGCATCGCTTTAGTAATTCCAGTTTCCATACTGCACTTCCATAACATTTCGTGTTTATGATTACATATTCTAATTGCTTAAAAATTCTCCATTATATCAAAACACTAATTTTATTAAATATTTTGCTAATGTCACATAATTCAGAGCCAAATCATGATACTTCTAGCTCAGTCACATCAAAATAAACAATCCATTCAAAGCTCAATTTATTTGAAATTATCAAGTCAACACTTAGTTAACGCTATTAATTTTAGATTGTAAACAGATAAAGAAAGTCATAAAATAAGTGAATCGATGTTTTTCTGCAACGTTCGTTTTTTTTAAATATTTATCAATAGGAAAAACGGTATGAAACTTATTTTGCTTTTTGACACAACTTTTTAGTCACATACAATCTAAATATGCATATTTATATTATGATCAAAATATAGGTTTATTGTTGAATAGGGATGATATAAAACCCGATGAACTTTTATAATTAAGTAAAACGAACAAATGAAGACATAAATTTCAATAGTTGAGATCATGAGTTAATTGAAGCTAAACCATAATGAAAAACCCGGAAGCACTTGACGAATCTCGAGAGGCGGGATTGTGGATGCGTACTGCCATTGAGGAGTCTCATAATAGGACGAAACAGCCGTCCAGTGCTTCCAGGTTTTTTATGCTGGTGTTGAGGCGAACCTGAAAATTTCTCGCGATAGACGTGACAAGCTCAGGAAACATTAAGAAGCATTTTATCCAAACAGCGTTTGACTAAAAGTTGTGCTAGAAACACGAAAATGAAAAGTCACATGTTGAGTTTCTAATTGGCTGATTACTATACTGCTACTATGTTTAGTAGCATTCCAGAATTTTCAGGAAAACTCAAGGACTTCTAAAATACTATAAAAACCCTATATTTTCTGTATATAAATAAACCTTTGGAGTAAAGTGCTTCTCGTATATTTTGCGCCTTTTCTCTCGTGTTCAAGTCGCTATGTAGTTCTAGCTTGGGGGTTCTGAGACTAGCTTAGGATCTGAATATAGCATTCAATCAGCAAGACTTATCAGGTGGTCTAGCTTCAATTGACACATGATCTCAACAATTGAAATTACCATAATATCCACAAAACCCCTTCTGATATGAAGACATAAATATTCGAATAAATAGTTTTAAACAACAGTTTGTTTATAACATGTAATGTTCAAATTTTCATTCACTAAGTTTAACTATTATATAATTTTTCTTCAGCATTATATGTATAACACTAAACTACGATATAAACTAAGATCACAACTTTATTAAAATTGGAAATGTTCATTTAAAGTTATTGGTTATCAAAGAAGATAGGAAACTGGATACCTAATCTTCATTGATTTTCAGTAGTTTTGTAGTAGTTTAAAAGTCATAGTGAAAGTTATATTGGAAATCCATTTTAAATTTTAGGTAGTTTCTAGGTAATAGTAAATTATGTGACAAAATAAACTTTTTATAATCTCCATATTATATCTCTACATTACAATGACAAAAAGGAGGTTTATAATACAAATCCGAAAACATCTTTTAAGATCAACATTGTCACATAAATTTTACTTAACAAGTTATTGATTAACAAGGGTATTCATACTGAACCAGTCAACTAAAGAATATGAATTTCAGGCAACAAGATTTCATAATGTTATGCTTTATCAGATTCATTCAACAAAGTAAACCAGAGAACATGAGTAAAAGTTTCTAAGGACAAACCGTCTATTGAAACATGCTTAACTTCAAAACATCCAATGTTGTTTCATTCGTAGGGCTTCTTTAACTGCTTTTAACCCATAAAATGGATTATTAAAACACCAAATAAATTCTTAAAATCAAAATGTCGAAAAATTATATGAAAATTTACTTACCTCACATAAATTATTGTGTGTTACACAATCGTAAATATAAACAAAACAAGATTCTGTGCCAACAATTAAACAGTCCCAAGAATTAGGTCCATTGTGCTGTTTACTCATTTTAGTTAAACATGTTACTACAGTCTGCAAAAATAATTTTAGAGATGGTAAATTAGTAAGTAATAAAATACGGAAACATCTCTATCAGAAATAATGAATATAACAATACGAAACATAAGAATTAAATGCATAAAATATAGTTTCGCCTACTTGCTTCTCAAGTGGAATAACTCGATAGGTGTTAAAAAATTCGTGTAAAAGGTTGACGGGTAACTGTAGATATCGTATAGATCTTGAAGTAAGCTTATGCACATCGGATCTAAAGTTGAAAAGAAAAAAAGAAAAACGCAAAAGGTTACTTCTTTAAACAAATTCAATCACAATATATTTTTTAAAAATCTGGATTAATAAAACATTAATGTTGATTGAATATTACATTCATGAGATTCCAAGCCTATCGAGTAACTTTTCTAAATGGTTTATTAAACGAGGGTTAAGTTTTTTCTGCCTTAGTAAGGATATAACATACGTTGCTAAATTTAAAAATGAGTATGTAAATCAGCTGCTTAAGGTATTATCTTTAGTGTAAATCAAGTCCATTTTTATCTCTGTTTTTCATTACTACAAATCTTATACATCTGCATTTTTAAATGAGTACAAGGTTAAATAAGACTATTTTACTATATCAAGATGTGACACAATCACCTTTAAGTTCTGAAAACTAATTTCTACAAAATAGCATCAATCGAAACTTTTTAAATTGCTCAAAAGAAAATCTCAAGAAGTATAGTTTAAATACTCACACTATCTTCAACTTCACGTACAAATTAGACCCCTGAAATTAGTTTAGCGTGATAAACTGGAAGCAGGATCATATAATTTTGAGATACTTTGAAGACGCTATAAATCCGGAAATTTGTAAAACACCAATATTATTCACTTTGAAATAAAAGGATTTCTAAAGTCTGTCAAACTATGAGTAGTCATTTTTATTAAGTCACGTTAACAAATGATTAATGTTTGAAAGTGATGCCACAAATAGTTGTGAAGTGATGACTTAACGGTAACATCGTTCAACTTTCACACATTACACAGTAAGTTCGAATCCTGACTCCTCTATTTTGGTTTGGGCAACTTGGTAGTATCAAAAAATCTCGGACAAACAATATAAATCAAAACTGATTACATTCACATGTACCTGTGAATGAATTACATTAAACATGTTACCACAAATAGTTACTTAAGTTCATTCAATTATCAAACATCAAATATAAGAAAGAGTTATAGCAACATACCCAATTTGCTTAAGTTTTTCACGTAATTCCTCTGGTGTCAAATTACCCTGTAAACAATAGGAAATTGATTGTTAAGAAATAAATGATTTCACAAAGTAACTATATGAAAAATGAAGTGGACAATTTGTATGTTACTCAGACAAGATTTATTTCAACTAACTAGTTTGCCGGTTGTGTAAAGTCTCAGCTAGAAAGTAGTAAGCCAATAAGAGCAAAAAAATAACTATTTAAGACAAAAGTTAATAATATCCATCTGACATCAAATGTTTCGACTAAATTTCACTGTTTCGGGATCTCAATGACCGATATTATAGTTTGTTATTTAAAATATAATCAACTACAGTAGGTAACTCTGTTACCTATAATCCTCAGAAAAATTTCCATCTATAAGCTTTGAAAATTGAAATAGAACAACCGGCATCAAATAAAGGTAGTTTTTTATATTACAGAAATTTGAAATGGTGGGGAAGCTTTGTAGCTCAGGTGGAAAACTTCAGTTCTACCTGAAGTTTGTGTTGATGATGTCCTTCAGAATAACAATGGAAGCTCCACGACAAAACCATCCAACTTAGAGAACAAATCTCCATCAAAATTACATAAATTTCCCCAGCATTCAATAACAATATGATTAATGCACTGATTACTGTTAAACTTCAATCTGAATAACTGAAAAATTCAAAATTATGAATGGTATAGTGACTTCTAAAACATGGCAAAAAAAGATAGTGCAAACCGTGTGGAGATTCAATAAATATTAATGAAGAAGATAATTCTGCGATACTTACTGAATAACGATAGTTTATTAAGAATAATTGAGTGTTCATGTCATCACTAGAAAACTCCACCTTTATTGTTTAACAATTAGTTACAAAATACAAACAAAACATTTTGGCCATATTGTACAAACACTTAGACCAGAATTATAGAATATATTCTATATTTTTCATTTTGAACAGTCAAGTTCAATTCTATGCAAAAGACGAACTACATATTGTTCCATTAATTGTTTAGTATCCACACTAGTAGTAGATACTATCACAAATAGACAGTTTATCCTTTGAATGTATACTTGAACTGTTTAAAGTATTTCGAAGGTTTAGAAATAGAATAAGATATCCCAATGTTTTGTAAGTCTATGAACTTATATAGTTATTTAATTGAAAAAGATTATTAACTTGGAAAAACTAACGATAAAACTTTATTAAGCCAAATACTCTATAGAGAATAACACTAAGATGATGAAGATTTGTAGCTCAGGTGGGTGATTTTGATAGAGTTTTGTTCTCTGAACTGGATGGTTTGGTCGTGGAGCTTTCATCGTCCTTCTGAACGACATCATCAGCACAAACTTCGGGTAGAAGTGAAGTGTTTGAATTTCTCCACATGTGATCCAATTCATTAACCAATCAGGAAAATTATGCAGAAACATAGGAACAAAAATTAAACCATTGGGAGATACAACCAAAACAAAGAAATAAACAATGACAGATTTAAGGTCAATAAGAACTAATCAACATCGAGGTGCACAGAACAAGCTGTGAATCACATGTGGAGAAATTCAAACACTTCACTTCAACCCGAAATTTACGCTGATGATCTCGTTCAGAAGGACGATGAAAGCTCCACGACCAAACCATCCAGCTCAGAGAACAAAACTCCATCAGAATAACGCTGAACATATTTTAGTGTATAAAATATAACAATTATGTGAATAAATGTGAAAAACAGTGAAAAATCATTTAATTTTTTTTAAATTTACCTCTTTGGCTTGTTCCCATAGTTTGAATTCATCCAAATTAGGTTCCAATGATGGTAAAGTAAATTTATAATATGATGATAATTTACGACAGGCATAAATAAATGATCCAGCAGCAATAGCTAAGTCTTATAAAGTTCAATATAAAAATATATATGAGTTTAATAATCATAATGAAAAACTACCAATAATTAATAAGACAGACATAATTTTTAAAAAATAGTAATGAAACGTGATGTGTAGCAATTAGTTACATGATACAATGTCAAACGAACTAAATATCAAATTCAAAGTTGAAATGTCTTAGGGAATTCGAAATTACCAGAAGGGGTTTTGTGAAGATTTTAGTAATTTTATATAGTGGAAATCATGAGTCAATTGAAGCTAGACCATCATGGAAAACCTGGAAGCACTGGACGGCCCGCTCGTCCTATTGTGGGACTCCTCAGCAGTGCACATCCACGATCCCGCCTCTCGACTGGCTCCACGAGGTATTTCCTGGAGTTCTAGTGAAAAGCAGTAACTAGTGGACTTCAACCAGTTCTGTTGGGAGATATCAACTCACTGAAGGCAATTGGTGAATGGTTGCTCAACTTCGTGGATTAGTTGAAGTTAGACATTAACACCATTGGATACCGGCCGACATCGTGGACGCGCACACGTGAGGAGTCTTCCAATAGGACGAAACGGCCGTCCAGTGCTTCCAGGTTTTTCATGATGGTCTAGCTTTAATCGACTCATGATATCAACTATATAAAATTCGGAATTAATAAATTTTTGATGTAGGAAACAAAAATGCGATCAACTGATCTAAAAGGAATATTGAAAAAAAAGATGATATACCATTTTTGATTAATTAGACATTCATGAAAGCTGGGTTATTTCACGTAGTACCATGGAAACAAAAAAGAATTACCTAAAAGTCTTACTGAAGATTAATTTTGTAAGGAATTAGTGTATTCTGAGAAGAAGCCAATCCCTACAGTTGACAATGAACTATTGATTTATTGCTAAATACCTTAGTAGTAGTTTGACCAGAGTGAAATTTATGATTAGCATGATTTGTAGTCAATGTAGGTTAAGAGAAGTAACAACATAATCTAATCCGATATTATGTGATCTATGAAGTGTTATAAATTAAGATATAGTCGAGTTTTAAGTAGATTGTTTTAGAATAGAAGAATAAAAACAATTAAGTAACAAATTTATTTTGAAAAAAAGAATAATTCTCAAATTGATAGAAATTTAGACCGTTGGATGCAAATTCGGTGATATGATGGTTAATCGCTCACAACAGCATCTGAACGTCCTGAATTCTCGAGAGGTCGTGGATGTACACCTCTGCAGAGTCCTAAAACAGGATAAAATAGCTGCCCGACACTTCCTGTTTTACAATGGTTGTCTAACGTTAGTCAGCACGTAATGCGAAACTTCTGATAACAATTCATTTCTCACTCACTCTTAATTCATATATTTTCGAGGATTACTTAATCTCGGGGCAAGCTTCATTATAGTTGCCAATTTTATTTCAATACTTCTGTGATGATTTCTTTTATTAAGACCCAGCTACACTTATTGCTGAGTATTATTAGACACTAATTTGCTCGACAAGTCCCCAAATCAGAACACGGTTGAACATGAACGTAATTATATCCCAAACAACAAGGTTGGATGGAAGTAGGAATCACAATAAGAGAAATTTTAGTATATTTATAATTTTCACATAGGAAGATTTTAGAGTCTTCTCCAAGTATCCGCTAGCGCTGGTAGGTTAAAAAACAACCAATCAACGTGCCCAAACACAATCCTCCACGGAACATGCTTCAATCCAGTCTATATCCCGCTAACAACTTGCCTCACATTACGTTGTCGTCATTGTTATCTCCTCTCAAATTTATCGCGTTAACTCTACCAAAAAAGATAGGACTAAATTGTGCTACACTGAAAAATACTGTATTAGTATTTTAACTATAAGCAGAATATCATAATCACAGGGAAACTTACGGGATATTCATCTTTACTCCAGAAAGAAAATTCAGCTAAGCTTATTTCTCTATATTAATAGTTCGGGACTTAACTATTCTAGATATAAAAACAGTCTTAAACATGTATTCAGAACTCAAAACGTAGCTCAGTGTTACCGACCTAGACAATTTTTATCGTTCCCTTTACATTTAAATGGAATAATTCCAGAAGGAGCTTCAAAGTATGGTACTTCCTTTATGAGTTTAGTCCCTTTGAATATCTTAATTTTGAATTCAAAACCTCCTATGTTAGAATGGATATTTTTAAAATATTGACTAAAATCAGCAACAATAAGTTCATTGGTGGACGAATCAAAAATATCTCCAAGGCACATGCATTGCGAAAAGGTTGATAAATTTACGGTTAAATCATGTTTCGCAAGTAACCAAGAATCACTGATTGTCATTTGATACATAGTAGAAAGTTGCTCCTTCGTATGATCTGTTACCATCATTTTTACGTTTGTGCAATGAAAAGCCCAATCTATAACAAGAAAGAAGTAACTAGTTAGGCAAATAACAAAAGTTATTAGGAAGGACAAAGTGAATTAATAAACATATAAAACTAAGATTTTTGTTCCGTTGAACTTTCCTCATATTGTTAAAATTTCATTAAAACCTAAAGAAAAACTTACACAATGTTGCTATTTAGCGCTTGACAATCTTCTAAAATCGAAATCACCTTATATTCTAGTAATTCTAAACATATTACGGCGATAACTTATTAATTTTTATTTTTCAGCACGCTGACGTTTTCCATGCAAAACTTACGAATTAGGTGTGTAAAATTTGTATGAAATTTAGACCTTAAAATGGTCTTGTACGTATATCTTATTGTTAAAAAGAGGAAATTGGATCTTAAAAGGGCACATCGGTTAAGTTCAGATATGTTCGGTTAAAAGGTCAATGTGAAAGATTTGGATATTCAATTTGTAACAGGCTGCCAGATATGAAGTGAATTAATCTATCAGACAGACAGTAAATTACTGTCTGTAAAACCGAAAGGTGCACTGATTTTAATGACCAAGTCTTCAAAATTTTCATTTGAACTTGATGAAACTAATGTATATATATATATATATATATTATATTTCACGAACACGTCATTATTTATCAATTAAGTCGACAAAGGAACATATAGGTTCGCTATGGACAACACTGGGTCTACCTTAGTGAAAAAATCTCTTTTTTCCTCATTGTAATGACATAGAAATGAGAGGACAATCACTACTTCAAGATGATGGAAAAATGGAAAAGTAATTTAGCATCATGATTCACTGTAGTCAGCTAATTAATAGAAGCTAGAATGATAGAAGAATCGTGTTACAGAAACCTACACAGACTAAATTTTATGATAAGTCAATTCTGATAAGATTTATCATTTCAATTCGCCCAAGCAGTTTTTGATATCCTACTAAGAATTTAAAAATTAAACTTCAACAAAATTCTGACCAAAATTAGATTTTCTATGGATAAGCAGATCAATAAACAAGTAGGTTTGATCATCTATGCTTTATTTTAAGTTTAGGTGAATCTTCTATCAAGAGTTTGAATGTCAAAATGTGGTAAATCTGTCGGTAATTTGAGAAGAGATGGTGCTTTTAAAATACGTAATGATAGAATATTTTACACAATATAGCTGTTTAATGATAAAAAATCATCGGTAGGCTAAGTAAACAACTTTGACACAGGTTTTTAATTGTTTTGGAAATTGACACCTAATTCTTCATAAAACGTTGCGAAACTGAGAAAACATCTATATGAAAATCAAGTAGATGAAAGATTCACACTGAAATGCAGCAGAGTAATTGCTACTATTGTTGCTGTTTTTAAAAAATGTTAGACACACCTCTTGGAAACTATTAGACGAAAGTGATATTGGCATTTTATAATGTCACAATTCAGTATGCTGCAATAATCCATAAATTATACAATCTCAAGGTTCACCCCAACCCTACCAAGTATAAAACTCTGGAATAGTTGTTTAGTCAAACCATTAAAATTTTAGGAAGCGAAGAGAGGACTAAAAACACTTCTAACGACTTTATTATAGGAAAAACGAGGTTTAACCAGGTGGCATTGATCAGGAGATTCTGTTATTAAATACATGATGTTTTAAGAAAGTAACAAAAGTAACAGTAAAACCCAATTTTATAAATTTCTGCTTAGCATAGAATAGGCTGGCGAAATATGTTCGTGGATTCAGAAGGCTCGACTGGCTTTCGCCAACTTGAGTCACTTGTGGCATAGGAGAGATATCCATCTGCCAACCAATAAACGAGTTTAACTCCCATCAGTTCGCTCCATTCTACTTTATGGATGTGAACGATGGCCGTTACGAACAGAGGATATTCGTAGGTTACTAGTACTCGATGATAGGTGTCTTGAAATCGTTGCTCCTGTATTTTGGGACCTCTGAGTTACCAATGCCTGGGTTGAAAATAGGATAGGAAGTAAGGATAGCGAATCGATTGATGAGGAAGTGAATCTCCAACAACTGAGGTGGTTGGGATATGTGTTACGTACGTCAGTGAATATGATCATGGACTAGCAGATGAGCCGATCAATCTTCGAGATTATACTTCAATAAACCCATAATAATCGTTGCATTTCTGCCCGACATGAACACTTGAACTCTTCCACAAAGCATAGTGGTTTGGGGATGGTGTTGTTTTAAGCACTATAGGTTTATATTCAATATCGAAACAGACATAATAAATACCCACTCAGTCAGCTTTTGTCCCTTTTATTGCCATCATTATGAAAATTGGACAGTGTGAATATTTTGCCACGAGTTTGGAAAATCTGGATTTCGATGTACGGCGTAAGTTATAAAAATTGAGTTGTTGTTTATACATAGAGTTATTGGCTGTTTATGAAATTAACTACCATCTAGTATAAGTTACGTTTTATTAGCATTTCTTGAATCATCGAGACTATCTGGATTAGTTACTGGTCAAAGGCCATAAGAAGCGCTAGTAACTATCTGTAGCACTTTTAAACAAACAATAGAATATGGGTTCCATTGAACAGGGTCTATCTCCTTTGTGTTCTTAATAAAGTAGACTTTGTTATGAACTTTATACACAAAAAATCTCAAACGTTATCCAAAATTTGGATATAAGCAACAATTGCATTTTTTAAACATTAACAAATAGGTTAGAATGAATCAGATAAATACTAAATTAATTAATAAGACAGTTTTATAACCTTTTCATATGCTAAACAAGTGCATACATTGTCCTGAGTAATGTTCTTTAGGCTGTAGTCGAGTTGCATATATCTAGCCACCTATCCGTCATAAATATATGGATTGACATATTCCATTACTCTGATAGAAACTATTAGAACCTAATGATATTTCTAAAGCAAGTAAGAATCTTTACTGCACTGTAGCCTAGACTTTTATTAAAACTACAAAAAAAATGAAATCGCATAGGTTCAGTAATAACTATGACTATATAACTGATTTTACCGCTGAAACATATCGGTGAAAAATGTTTCGGAGTGGGTCAACATATGCATCCAAATATTTTTCATACCTTTGACTTCAATAAAGACTAGTGTCTTCGAAAAAATTTAGGAACTATCTGTGCAGAGTAATTAAACAAGTTTCAAATTAGACCTATTTGTTGAATGAAGCTAAGCATAAGCCACTTGGCGAGGTGTCGGTTTGCTGGTGCATTTCGCGGAACACTTTCCTGATCAATGACCTCAGCTTACTAACGACATTGCAACTAAGTGACTTTGAGGTCTGAATCATGGTCAAAACAGAATAGGATTACTCATGAAGTTGATTTCATCAAATGCTAGCATCTTGAACCACGCTCCTGCTTTATTCATGTGATGTTATTATCCAAATAACTGACCGATCATCTATGGAAAAGGACAAGATAGAAACCTGTGCAGAATAGTACGCTTGCCTGGAGACAGAATTTAAGAGTGGGGTACAAGATGACTTGTATCCAAAAATTGGGAGCGGTTTGAATAAATAAAAGATAGACCGTGAGACGCTGGTGAATGAATACGTATGGAGGTTCATACAGGATTATAAACATTTATCGGGCAACTATTAATGGAAAATTAGTCACTATTGTAACGATATAGCAAGACTAGATAACATGCAAACTATTCAAAGTCTCATAAAAAACGTGTTAAGGAATGCCGTTGGGTGAATGTGTAAAATATGACAGTTTATTAGAAGATAATAGCCAATTCGGTTTTCCCGTCTGAAGTAGTAAGTATAAAAGGATGGATTGTTTGTAATAATACGGGTAGCACGTAATACCAGTGATAAAAGACCATCAAAAAAAAGATTAGTGTTTGAGGTTCATATATTAAGTGTGGCATAATCCTATAACCGTCATTGTATGTGGTCTTTCATAGTGTCAGCAAAACAACAAGAAAGGTGATCTGCGATCCCGGTTAGATCATTCGTATAAAATATAAGTAGCAAAGTTTAAAAAGCTGTACGTTCAAGAATTCGACTTTTCACCGATTATTTTTGAAGTAATGTGTGACTTGCTTTTTTTCCGTTTTTTTCTCTATAACTTTGATACTTTGTATTTAGCTCTCAAACTTACCGTGTTCCTCCAACGACAAATTTTCAGATTATATCTTAGATTCTAAGAAAATATAAAGATAAAACACCTATATGCATACCTATATTTGTAGACGAAGGTCAGGCGGCTTCAAAAGAAAACATTAACCAGAAATTAATGAATCACTTCAAAGTTGTGTTGTTCAATTTTAACAATTGTTAGTTCTTAGGAACTAGTACTGAGAGTTAACAAGTACTTAGGCGTTATAATAGGATCTCATCCAGCAAATTCAAAAGGTAGAAAGTTCTAAAAAAACCGACTGTCGTAAATGATTCTTCAAATAGAAGCTAATACAGTCACATTCATATGCCTTTTAGAAAGTATGACATTCCTTTCCCTTTTAGTAAACACCAGATCATGAATGAAAGTTTGATTTCGGATCACTTAATTACCAGAATCAGTACTTGCAATGATATATACTTTCCAAACTAATGTCCTTCATAGTAATAACCAATGAAATGCTAATACTTATTTTACTAAAAGCCAATAGATTTAAATAGCCACGCATTTTGTTGTTTATTGTTTGATAAGTTTAAACAAAAGCGTGACATTGCATTTATTGCCGAAAATATTCGTTTAAATATAAAAATAAAGATCTGATTACTTGATACATTCTTGATTCAAAATAAAATCTGAAACGCAATATTATATTACGCTGACACTGTTTTGGTATTCAATAAATCACACACTTGGCTGTTTGACGAATGTTCGGTCTCTACGGCGCAACAAACTTTCTTTGCATTTTATTTTTGCTCCAAACTTACTCACAACGTATTCAGGTAATTTATGAAGGGCAGAATGTTGCATTCTATTGTAATGCTACCGGTGGCTCCAAAAACGATTACATACACTACCAATGGGAGGTAAATAATCGTGATCTAATAGCCACTGATGCCTACTTTCATATAAGAGGCATCCAAAAAAGTGATGAAGGTGAGTATAAATGCATCGCCACGCAATATGTAAATGGGACTCCCATCGTTGCAACTGAATCCACATTTATCAGTGTACGCAAAGGTGAGTAAATTGACTTTTAATTCTCCTCTAAATACGTTTCTTTATCTTCAATACTATTTAATTGTTCATAAACGTCGTAGTGTATTTTATCCAGACTATTTTTTCTACAAGTGATATTGTTAATTGGCAGTGTAGAAATCCTCGAAATCATTATGAAGTCCTGGACAGTCTTTTTATCTATTTGCAGAATGTTACACAATATTCTCAGCAATTAGAAAGCAGTATTCTTATGCGTGTTTTAGCTTTAGTTTCTCATTAAACCCTCCTATATTCCGAGAAACTAACGTTCGAATTTGGAATTTTCGAGAGAAATTCTTTTTCTTCAAAAATTCTATTTGAAGATCATGTTACTTTGTTGAAAATGCTCCATACATCACAATTTTTTATATACAGCAAAACTAAGGACTCTAGAGTTTATTGTTAATATTATTCTATATGGTTTAAACTCACCCAGGTTTCACTCATTCAAACTAACTATGCTTTTTATTCAGGAATATTTTGAAAATCTATTTTTTCTGTACATTATTTGTTTGAGAAGAAGACAATTCTTATGTCAAAGCGACTTCCTAATAGCCACGAATTTAAAATGATGAAATGGTATATGTAGTTGTTCCCGAATTTGTTAATTCACTTATTGTCTTTTTATAAAGACATTACTTAAATCTTAATATTTAAAAGAATCTAGAGTTTAACTTTTTCGACATTATAATGTTTATAATAAGATTAAGCATAATTTTTTCGATTTTTAAACCAATGAAGCATTATATTTTGTGTTGTGAACTCATTGGTTGCATTGAACATTACTCAAATGTAATTGGCAACCACCATAATCAAAATATTGCAGGTTTATTGCTGTCCATTTTCTTGAGTGACTGAAGAGCAATACGGGATAAATTAATTTAAGACAATATAGAATGGCAGTTTAAAGCCTAAGGTTGATTTTGTTGTAAACGTATTTAAGGATTTAATTTCATTTTACTCTGACATTTTATTAACCGACGTTCTAACGATCTATAATTAGAGAACGTAGAATATCTGTCTATGGGGAAAAATGAATTTTAGTAGTCTTAAGATAAGTGAAATGAGTTGTACTAATAACTAATCAGCAATGGTTAAACGAGGTACATTAAGGATTTTTATGAAGTTTATATATCACAATTTCAAGTAATCATTATTTATAAGAATCATTTGGATTTAATTATGTTGACTGAGGTTGATAATTTACCTCCGCAGAACAGAAACGTTCATGAAGGGAAGCAAACAATTGTGTTCTATTTTACTTTGAACTATTTTTGCCATTTAAACAAGACTTAAAAACAGATTAAAAATATATATTTTGTAATGATTTTCATCATTCCGTGGTCGATATTTTCCACTGAATTTTGATTAATATTGACTTTTCACAGTTGAAATCATGAGTCAATTGAAGCTAGACCACCATCGAAAACCTGGAAGCACTGGACGGCCGTTTCGTCCTATTATGGGACTCCTCAGCAGTGCGCATCCACGATCCCGCACCCGCGCGATTCGAACCCAGGACCCACCAGTCTCGAGCCGAAGCCCTTAACCGACAGACCACTGAGCCGGCATCCAATAGTGCGGGATCGTGGATGCGCACTGCTGAGGAGTCCCATGATAGTACGAAACGGCCGTCCAGTGCTTCCAGGTTTTCGATGGTGGTCTAGCTTCAATTGATTCATGATTTCAACTGTGAAAATACTAAATTCTCCACAAAACCCCCTCTGATCTATAATCTTGATTGTCATGTATGCATCATGTGTGGATTGCCTATTATGTCAGAAATTATGAGAACATGACGGATATGTTTTTTTTACAACTACATTGTCTTCATTGGAAACTTTTAAATATTTTCAGCGATTGCAATTTTGTGCATTCCAAGAATAATACAGTTTAGTAGACTTAATAAATAAACGGTAACTACTGATTGTTTCAAAGAAAATGAGTATGTTAATATATGTTAATGCTAATACAATGAACAATTGTCGGCTTTCAAATAATAATGTGCACCAATACAGTTACTTGAAGGTTCTACGAATCATTTTAATTAACCAGCAAAATATTTCACTATTTTTTATGTATTAATCAATATAATGATAAATTGTCTACATTGTTAGGGAAAATATCATAAGCATAATTCATTCTCTTGTTGTTTGGTATTAACAAGATGTAATCGGTTCTGATGTACAATGCATTATGATTAAGTATTGTAAACTAGAACAGATGAATTTACACTAAATAGAATTCTAATGTATTTGGTGATTTCTATGTAATGTAAAAACTCTACCATAAATTATTCTAACATGAATCTATAGAATATTGATCATATCTGTAAGTTTAATTCATTTCTATGATCAAATTTTGTGGTTAAACAAATCTATATCTATGGAAAACCTGGAAGCACTGAATGGCCATTCCATCCTATTTTGGGACTCCTCAGCAGTGCGCATCCACGAGCCCGCTTCGCGAGATTCGAACTGAGGAGTCCCGCAATGGGAAGAAACGGCCGTCCAATGCCTCCAGAATTTCCATGGTGGTTTAGCTTCAACTGAATCATGATTTAACTTCTTAAAGTGACACACATCTTTACCTGAATGTGCATTATTCCAATGATAACTAAAAACATTTCAAGAAGAACCTGTGAATGTTATTCCTAATTTTTTATTATCATTCTTTATTATTATCAGTAAGATCAGAGCCACGATTTACTTATTCGTTAATAAACTTTGTAACTAAGTACTGACGTAGTTTTTAATTAAAATATTCAACTATCTTAACCTATTGAACACAAATTAGTTTAAACTTATTTTTCGATAGTGTAATAAGAAGACGAAGGTCATCAGAACTATTAGCGCAACACATTTCGAACAATATGATCACACATATACTTGTTAAGAACACTTATATATAGAAATAAAAGGTCAACTAGACTAGAAATGGAGGGTGAGAGAAGACAACGATAATCAAGAAAATAATGCGAAAACAACTTGAAACGTCATCACTCTGGATAATAAGCTAATATTACCAGGGTAGGTTTAAGGTGAGAATAAACTGTTTTTGAATACACAAAGGGGTTGAATTTTCGTATGACTAAGGCTACAATAAACCTCAGTATACAGCCTTTTACACATTTAAACAACACCACAAAAGCCGAGTTAAGATCAACCTTATGGCCTGTTTCGATTATATGTTCGGAAATAGAGGGTGATGGATATAAGATGGTGGTTGGAGGTGGTCAACAGGAAACCCTGGACTCGGGTTTCGTGCTACTTGGCATTCGTCAGCAAGGTGCACCTGTAATCTTGAAGGAACTGATGCTCCCTGACTGATTCGATCGCGTGTCACTCAACTTCACAGTCAGAGACGTTACCACTGAGCTATTCGGGCCGCGACCGACCTCCTGTAGGACTGAGATCTAATCACAATTGATTGATCACTGGGTGGTGATCAATGTCATGTGTGTCAAGTCCTTCTTAGTGCTGATCGAATGCTATCGATCAAGTTGCAATGTGGCTTTATCACTACCCAGTGATCAATCAATTGTGATGATGGATGTTTATCCTCTACTCTTATTGGTTATATGGGCAGATGTTCTAGGGATTTTTATATTCGGGCTCGTGAGCACCTCCCAGCGTGGTTAAGCAAAGGTATAGTCAAAACGGTTTACAGCTCCATTTTTGCCCATTTAGTTCAGACCGGATACGACCAACATGGAGCAATCTTTCCCAATAATATATCATGTTAATAACAGTCTACCTAATTCCGTCAGATTAAGGATTCTGCAGACGACTGAGGCAATTGCTATCCGGATCAAAAAGCCAGAGCTGTGCATCCAAAATAAATATGTCCAGCCGCTTCTTTTACCCTGACCAACTTCAGGGTCAACTTGTTAATAATCAATGGTGACATTAATTTGATTATGTTCATTTTTATATCCTAAACTTATTTTATCTACACATCTTACCGTTGTCATTATTATTACACTTGTTAACCTTTTAGAGAAATTTATTCAGCATCCACCCCCATCTACTATATCTGACCTAATTCATATTATTCTACATAATTTCTGATTTGTAATCCCATTATTCTCTCTCACCCTATGTCAACTATATTTATTCTGACCATTTATCTTACGATTTTATTTCACGTATAAACTGATTCAAGTTAACACTATATATTAGTCATCCCAACATTAACGATTTGATTTGATACTATATGACAAATATTCCTTGATTCACATGTTACGGTTTTAAATGATGTACTCCGCCTTAAACTTGACCAATTTTTTGTGGATTATTAATTTGGATTTATAATTGTAGAACCTGATGAGAAATTATTGAAAAGAATATCCTTCCTTCATATAATTGTGTCTTATTGGGTCCTTTGATTTTATTTGTTTCTGTAACCATTTAGGAAAATGTTCACGCACCCTATTTTTGAGATCACGTTTACCATCCTTGTGTACATGTGGCCACACACATTTGAATTAGTAAACACAGTGAGATGTGACGTAATCGTTTTTATGTCTTTTGGGTTTTCGATGAAGTATGGACCTTGTCCTTTCCTTGATAATGACCTTCGGTGCATAATATGTCTTGTTAATAACTGATTCAACTTCTTATTTCAATAAAAGGCTAGTCGAATCACCTCTAAATGGTAATGTGATGTAGACAGCCTTTTTTTCCTGCCAATACCATAGTAGGTCTCATTTTACTATGGAAAGTTCATTGTTAAGTAACATTGTAGTGTATGCTACTTATGTCTGTCGACATAAGTAGTATATAACATCAATCAAAAGTAGACTGCCTGACAGCAGAAGATGGGAAGATCTAATTGAAGAGGACGAGAACGGAAAGTAATTGTAATAACAATGAAGAAACGACGAAGTTTGAGTCAGTTGACAGAGGATTTGCAAATGAAGTATTTCATGTTTGGTTCTCATACTTTACAAATATATTCTGTAGCTATGCATCGGACTATAA